CATCACCAGATCTGACCGAGACATCCGTGTCCTCCTCCCACCAACCTAGAAGCGAGTTCTGCACACGGGCCACCTGCACGACATGCACCGCCACCTCCATCTCCCTAGTGCAATCCCTCACCCTGCCGCCAATGTGGCAGTCCTAGAACCACTTGTGCTCCGTCTCGACCAGGAGCTGCCCCGCGCTGAGGGAGGACGCTGCCGTGCAGGGGCAGGCCAGCGGTGCCCCGTGGCAGATGCAGCGGCAGTGGCGCACGCCCCACTCCGGCACGGTGGCAGCTGCCCATGCCCAGCTGGCGACACGGAGGCTGCCCATGGAGAGCTCGGTGGAGTCCCCAAGATTTGTTGGCCCTACCAGATTAACCCTCACCTCGCCGCCCCTCCCTCCTCTTCGTCCAATGGTTTGGGTCGACTAATACACCAGCATCTGTTCTCCAGTTACTCAACCAGCATCGGAGAAATGCAAAAGGCCTTGCAATGTTATTCATTCTAGAGACTGCAGCTCATAAAGTCTCCCCTCTTTCAGTTATCGCTCCCCCAAGACTTACCATTTTACTTCCCCTGAGATATGCAAAGTTTCATTCGTTCTTGAAAATACTTCTCCTGTTTCGGTTAATTCCATGTCTGCACTCTTTCACCTGATAGCTGAGTACAGTAGCGGATCCAGCCAAAATTCCACAGATGTCATAAGTACTACGTCATGGCTTAAGTTCACGTATGAGCATCAATTTGCAATGAAAATCTCAGGAAATCATTGCTGAACAGGGCTGGCTCCGCCCCTGGCTGAGTATTGCTTCACCAGTAGTTGGTTAAATCATTCTAGAGAATCCATCACTTGGTTAGTGCTGTTACTTAAAATCAGTAGTGGGAAACTATGGTTGTACCAGGATGCTACGCTCGGTTCCCACTTCCTGGCGCTTTTGATACCCCACCGCCAATTAACAAAACTCTAAGAATCAGCCAAACAAAAATTGGAATTTAATTCTAAGAAAAAGTTTCCATGTCCAACCAAACAAAAAAATTGAATTGAATCAAATTTTAGGTAACCCATTTCTGGTGGAATCTAATTGCTATAATCATCTTTGTTAAAAGAATTGCTATAACCATTCATGGAATGAGATTCAATTACAGGGATCCAAACAGCCCCATATAGAAATGATCCCTCGGTTCAGCATCAGACATCTTGTTGTGCAATTGAACATTGATAATATTTATTTCCAAAAGGCCCATTCAACTGTTATGTAGCACCAATACAGATATGCAAATATCTACCTGCCATTTGGAAATATATATATATATATATATATATATGTGTGGACACAATTTAATTTTGTTTAAAAACATAACAAGGCATGCCATCTAGGTTTCGTAGCAATCAGCGACACCACTAACAGAGCAGGAGCACACAGTTCACAGGATGAGAAGAAAAGGAAGAAAAGGGGAAGAACAGGATGAACTCACCTCGGCTCCCAACGGATTGCTGCCTTCTCAGTCAGTGATCCCACTGCCGTCGGATCTGCAAAGCAGCAGCACCAATCCACCACTGAGCACCAAGGGATCTGTGAAGAAAGGAATGCAAGCGCGCCACCACACCACACAAGGGAAGTCGCAGAACCTGGTGTTGAATCAGGGCAGATTTGAGGATCGAAGCGCACATTCCAACAGTGCTGCGAGACGCAAAGGTGGGATCTAAGTAGGGTTAGGTTGGAGCTGGATGGATCTGTGGGTTAGTGGGTGTTGGGGGGTGAGCATGCTGGAGCCCGCCCAGTTCATCGTCTGGGCTCAAGTGAGCTCTGGAGGGGCTTTTGACCTCAGGACATAGAGAACATCGTCCATGCAAACACGCATTATGGCCCAAATTGTTAAGCCATTTGGCCGTTTAGGATATTTGAAGTTTGCAGCGCTTATTTTCAGGAAAATGGTGGCAGCGGCACTTTCAAAGTTTTCTTTTTGGCAAAAAAGAAGAGATGTGCTTGCCAAAAGATAAAACAAACTACACCGACACTCTATGTTTAAAAAAGGGGCTAAACTCATGAGAAATCAGATCGATATACGTATTTTCAAATGAAAGACCCCACCAGCAATTGGCTGATATTCAACTCCATGTAACTCATACTCACACTCACGCCGTTCATAGCAATGCAGCGGAACCTGATCAAGAAAAGAAAAAACAGAAATGCAGATGCCACACTACCAGCGCTGAAACTGAAAGAAAACTATAGTTTAACTTCCTGGAGTCTGTGCTTCAGAGTTCAGAGTGAACTACCTTTCACTAAACTTGGCTAAACTTATGTAAAAAAAATGGATCATATGTACTCTATAGACCGGTAGACACCCATAACCGATATGTACATACACAATTGTAAAAGAGACTAAGCGAGACTACCAGTAATGGGGCCAACCTTCATAATAATGGAGAAAGAATAGGACTACATATACAATTATAATTATAAAACAGATCGAGCAAAATGAAAAATCGATGCCCCAAAAATCCTCACTTAATTACGGAACAAAATACAAGGTATACGGCGCCAAGAGGAATATAGGGGTGGCACCCGCGCAACCCCAGCACGGGCCCCCGCCGCTAGCGACTCCCGGCGGCCAGGGTGGCGGCGGCAAAATACGAGGTGGGCGCGCGCAGTACTTCGGCAGGGAAGGGGATGATGCGGGGGATAGATGGGGGCAGCGGAGCTAGAGGAGGCGCACCTGGATCGACGAACGTCGTTGGAGGAGGTCGCGCGGGAACGGCGGCGGCGGGCCGGCGGCGTTGCCTTTCCCTTTCTGCGGGAGCCGGGAGCGGACAGCAGCGACCCGACGTGCCCAGGGTAACCCAGTCCGACCCGCCCCGACCCGCGTTTGCAGTGAACCCAACCCGCCCCGACCCGCCCCCAGTTCCACCCAGTGACCCAGCCCATACAACTCATTTCGGCCCAGCCCATGCATTGTGACGCTATTCAGTGTTCACTGCGATGCACCTGACGGACGAACCCAACCCAACCCAAAGCATTGTGATAGCAGAAGACGGGAAAACCCTTATCCAAGCTGCGTGGCTAATCTGCGCTTTTAGACTTTTCATTCAAACTTAGCAACTAAAACATCTTAGGGTGTTTGGATTCCGGCCACAGCTCGCCTAGCCACAGTTTATGGCACGCCACAATTCGTAAGGCTCTTGTTTGGTTTACACGTAGACCAAGGCAACCACAACGCCACAACACTCATTGGCCGCCGCACTTTGTGGCGAACGATTTCTACGCCGCCGCCACAACTCGCCGCAACTTAGTGGTGGCGCAGCGTGGCCCATAACCAAACATCCCCTTAGTAGCTAAAAGAAGGCAACCCGTCAGTAGCGGCGAGCGAGCGGAGCAAGCTTCTTAATCAAAAGAAATCTGAAGGTTCATTCGATTAGTTGTGGACTGGATGCAAGCAGCAAGCGTGGACTGGATGTAAGCAGCAAGCAGCAAGTTGTACAGAGTCTGTTTTGGGGCACAAATGTGTGTAGGCCTGCTCCAGTCCCACAGGAGATTCAGACAACTGAGTGAAAATCAACTGACAGGTACGAACTGAAATTACCCCTGCGGAGAACAAACCAAGAGCTGCGATTTGGTCATATAACAACTGATCATTCAGGCTTCAGGCGATAGCTAATGTACTACTAGAACAAACATGATTCATCAAAATTAGATGTTCTGATCCTGGAAGGTACATCGACAGTAGCATCTTACGGGATGCACAAGAGATGCAACGAAGCAAAAACAGGTTCCAGGGACCGGAGTAACTATTATTGATTTTTCGGAATATCTGAAAAATGGAGATGTAGCAAAGAACTATCTCATGTACTCGTGCAACGGTTATATTATGTACAAATGTGCATGTCCCTTCTGCGAAGCCGATCGAAGAACTCAACAAGCTGACCTCAATTGATGTGGATAACGGCACCTGATCAAGAATAAACAAACAAGAATCAGCCAGGTGGGGCTGAGCGGCTGACTAATGCGTGTAACAAAAACATCAAACGAGAAGCTGGCAAACAGTGTTCTAAGGAATCGTAACAATGCATGCCATTATAACATTTAATTATTCAATTCTTACAAAACATTGGCAGGAAGGACGAACAAGGTGGATATTTTTGAGAAAACTAGGAACATCTCGCAAACCCATTTGTTAGAAAATTTGATTTGCCCAACAGAACATCCTAAACATAAAAATCCCAACATCATTAGCGTGATGACACCTCCAAGCAAAAATAATAATGATACTTCCAAGCAATTTAAGGAGTAAGGACCTTGATTTATGCTTTTTTACGGAACAGATCATTCATATATGTTATTTGCGTACAGTGTTATCATGCTGAAATTTCTGAAAAGGCAATTGCTACATCCAGTAAATGACATGATCCTGATTTATGAAATTAAACCGTAGGAGTTCTGATTTAGAATAAAAATGGCCATGCCTAGAAAAAGCCAAAGTCTAGGGTATCCTATCTCTTGACATGGATAAGTCCCTCACCTCTCGTTTGACCAAATTCCCACTGATGAAGTCAGAAACTCTTATTTGACAAACTAGCTAGTTGTTAGTCCCAAATCAAAATTCATAGTAGTGTTCTCAAATGCAATTCTAGACAGACAAGTAAATACAGTATCCAAGTTTCTTTTCGGAACATACAAACTCGGAGTGCATGGTATTGTCAACCAGCAGTATAACCAGCTACAAGTACAGCCGTGTGGTAACCCACATTGGTTCGTCAATCAAGCATACAAACAACACTAATATAGTACCAGGACATCACAACACTGCCCCCCCCACCACCCCAGCATGACGATGTAGCTCCAGGCAGAGCCAGAGCACTAGAGCAGTATCCATCATCCATCACATGTACGTGCTACTCCTTTCGACACCCAACAATCACTAGAAATATCAGATATACGGCAGTGAACAACATGTGGTGGATAAATGATTTTACCTACTCAGTTCGTATGTATGAACACAGCCCGAATCGCCGGCTAAGCTGATGGTGTAGCGGAGATGTTGTAGCGACTGCGCAAGCCATCAATAGTCCTCTCCACGGACTTTGCCATCTCAGGGACGGTCACCTTGCACACTGGTCGCCACCACCAAAGTTAGAACAAAACATGTTGAAGAGAAACACATGGAACTGAACTGAAATTCAGAGAAATATGTTGTTTCCGTCTGCAAAGTACCACGAGATGTGGATGCCTGCACCTCAGCCACGAACTTCTTGTACGAGGTCTGCGATTCACGGAAAGCACCAGAAATTCAGAGTTCAGATAAACAAGCGAGTAATCAATAACAGAGTCAGTTACGTCTATGACGAACAGCAATAGCAAACCCACGCAAGGAACGAGATCGGGGGTACCTTCACCAACTCCGCATGCTCGGCGATCTTGTCGGCCATCTTCTTCTGCTCCTTGTCCACTTCCTCCGCCAGCTGCAGGCAGCCGTGGGACTGCATCTGAGCGCAGGGCACGCGGGGATCGGAGAAGATGGCATCAGTCATCACTATCACACATGATGAACTCGACGAAGCAACCAAACGAGAGAGAGAGCGAGGTGCAGGGAACGGAGACCAGACACCTTGACGCGCTTGGAGATGCGGGAGTGGGAGGCCTCGAGGTCGCGGACGTAGTCGCCGTGGAGCGCGTCGAGGCGGCGCTTCAGGGAGTCGAGGTGGGACGCGGCGAGGCTCCTCAGGTCTCCGATGGTGGACGTGGCAGCGGGGGAGGCGAGGGGCGTAGAATTCCTGGTCCCAGGTTTCGCCAGCGGGGACGAGGGCGAGAGGCGGAAGCTGAGGTCGGCGGCGGCGGCAGGGGACGGCGTGCGGCACGCGGAAGGCGAGGAGACGCCGGAGGAGAGCAGGGAGACGGGGCTGGGCGTCGCCACCTTAGGCTTAGCCCTGGACCTGGGCTTGGCCTTCGGCTTCGGCTTGGAGGAGGCTACTGTGTGGGTAGCTCTCGGCCTCGCCATGGCCGACTCTGGCTCTCCTGTGATCCTGTCTCTTCGTGGGCGGAAACGTGAAGAAGAAATTCGAAATTTGAACGGTGAACGGTGAACGGTGAACGGTGAACGGTGAGCACGCTTTCGGTCTCCCATGTGCTATCGGTCTCTTTATGAACGCAACCAACTGGCTACGAGGCCAGATGACGGACGTGAAATTTTCGTATTTTGGTCTTTTTTGAAAATAATTTTTAGAAAAATACCAACGCCAAAACATTTTCTGAAAATAGACCATTTTTAGGCGTCTTAGCACATGACGCCGAGATATGAGGCTCGGCGTCGTGTCACTCGACGCCGAGGTACTGCCACGTCACGGAAGACCGGGGTCGTCGTCGACACGTTAGCGCGCGTGGTCCGAGACGTCGTGCGTCGTGTCGGCCGTCGCCAAGTACCCAACCTCGGCGCGTTCAGACCGAGCGTCGAGCTCTGGCCCCATCCAGAGCGCGGCCCAGGCGGCCCAACAAAGCACGGTGGCCCAGCAGCTCGGCGTTGGGTCACTTAACGCCGAGCCCTCCGGACCTCGGCGTGACCCGACAGCAACGCCGAGGTCTGACCCTTTAGGCCGCGTCGAGGCCCCTTCTTCTTGTTCCTCCTCCTCCTCCCCCACATTCCCCAAATCCCCATTTACGAAACTCTAACCTTCAAAATCGACCCCGGTGCGGATCTTGTCCTCCCAAGCTTCCTCGATGTAATGGTCCCTCCCTCCTCCATTCTATCCGCGTAGATGTGCTTACATTGTCCCTAATCATTTGGAATCATGGTTGTTTGGTGATTTGGTATATTTGTGTTTGCATTTGCAAAATGTATGGCTTAGGATCATTGAGTGCATTGTTGTTTAACTGTTCTATGTGATGAACATGTTAGGTTAGTTTGGTTTCTAGTTATTTTGGTCATTAGGGTTATTTGTTTATTGTAGGTGTCATTAGGGTTAGTTATTTGTTGGTCATTAGGGTTACTATGTATTTTATTTATTTGTTGGTCATTACATTTCAATTTGTTATGATCAAGGCGTTTTGTCAAGGTACTCCTCTTTCCCCTCTTTCAATTCATTCATTTAGATTCGTTTGTTTTTGAACTTTGCATTATAGGTTTGGTTCATGTTCATGTCATTCGTGCAATGTATGGTGGTTCAAATGATTGAATGACCCAAATGTATGGTTGTTGGTGTTGTTGTTGTTGTATATGTTATGGTTTATAATCATTGAGTTAAATTTTGTGTTTGTTGGGATTCAAATTTGTTTAGGGTTTGTAATGAAAAGCTTATTTGGGAGGTATGGTGATGTAGTGTTAGTACCTTTACATTCGTTGCAAGGTACTTTGGATTGATTTTTTTTCTACGTAATGTTAGGATGCCAAGGCGTGGTAAAGCTCGTATTCCAAGGTAATCCCAATGTTTATTCATTATCTGTGCAACAAATAGAAAATCCTAGGTTTAGGTTTGGTTCTCCGTTAATATGACTAAATTATTTCAATTGTAGCTATGGTCGCCAGAGGGCAAATCCCTACGACCTAAAGCCTCTCCCTGAAGGTGTTCCTCGACCAATGTGCTTTTGTGGTGATCCTTGCAAGGTAGACATCTCTGAAGATGAGGAAACATATAGACAGAGGTACTGGATGTGTCCCAATTATGCATGGGAACCTACAAAGCAACAGCGCCGTGCATCGTTTGTAAGAAATTTTTATTGTGTTAATTAATTTTCTTGTGATATTAAGTATTGCTTATTTATTTGTTTTGTAACAATTTGTTTTTCTTACAGACCGTTCCACCACTGTGTGACTTTAAGTAGTGGATTGACACTGAGATCAAGGAGTCGGACAAGCAGCGTCTAGAAGGCCTGAAGGAGTGGAATGCGGAGGTTAAGGAGAGGTTTGAGCAGAGAGCCTTGGTGGAGGCTATAGAAAAGGAGCATAAGGAAGAGGAGGAAAGGAGGCGTGTTGTTTGCGTCTGGGCGGAGAGGAGAAGAAGCTTGAGCGTGTGCGCCGAGCGAAGGCAGCGATGGAGGAGAATTCCGATGCCGAGAGGAAGGGAAAGTGGCCTCGTTGCACTCAGTAGGTATTTGGTTCATTCACGAGCGATGTCGTGTAGCCCTAGACTTTTTTTACTATGTTGTAATGCACTCTGCTTTTATTTCAGATGAACTTATTCCCTGGACTTTTTTTATTATGTTGTAATGCACTATGATTTTATTTCAGATGGTCTTATGCCCTGTACTTCGTTAACTATCCTAAGACTGTAGTGGTACTATTTGTATCACTGAAAAGACTACTTGTGTTGTTGCGATCCTTTGAAAGACTCTGAGTCTTTATTGCGATCCAACGAAAAGCCTAGATTCGTTTCTTCGTTGTATCCGTGATCGCAATGAATTAATATCGAGTGATGTCTTGCATTTAGATGAAGTGACAAAACACAGTGTAGCCTTTTTAGATGAAATGACCGGTCATGGTTGTAGGCTTTTTAGATGAAGCATCTAGCCTTTGCATTCAATAAATGAGTACGCACACATGTTTTTTGTCAAGTAGCATTCATGGTGAACCTGCCTTTATCTCTATATATAGTGCTCCATGTCTTGCTCCACGTCCACACAAATTGTTTTCGGTTTAGTTTTAGCAAATGTCGAGCGGAGGTTCCTCGAGTGGAAAAGGGTTTCATGGAGGGAGAGAGAAAGGGGGTGAGGAAGGACCTCCGATTGTGTGGGAGGGTTCTCGAGTCCCTGATTCTTTTCAAGAACCAATAGAGGAATTTCCTTTGGAGAGGAAGAGTGACTTCACCCGTGAGAGACCTCTTAGATCATCTGAGAAGCGCATTGAAGATTGGCCAAAATGCCGCCACGGTTTGGATTATGCGTTGTGCGGATGTACAACGATTGTGATGGTGGAGGCCGTCGTTTCTTGAGATGCCCGCGAGGATTTGTATTGCCTTTGAACTCTCTCCTTTTTAGATTTGCATTTGGTTTATACTAGTACTTATTGGTAGATGGGTTTTCGATTTAAGCTGTCCGAGATAATCGTGGCTTCACTAGATGGGTCGACCCTCCTCCTATCTATCCCCATCAACAAAGACATCATATATCTCTGAGGACGCATCTTTGACCTAGAGTATGGCCACAGAAGTGGTAACAAGGACAAGTCGAGACGACGACAACAACAATGATGCGAGGGAGGCACTATGCAATAATCCAGATCTGAAAGTGCCCGTACCATAAGAAGGACGGACCTCCTTCTCCACCGCCTCCGTCAACTGGAGGATACTATGGGGAAGGCGCAACTCAGTTCAATATGTGGGAGCATTATTAGGACCAACATTTGTTAGTCAATCCGAATGTGGAATGCTTGTATGAGTTGTTCTTTTCAATCTCGTAAGGCATGCTAGGTTTAGTTTGCAACATGCCCTTGTTAGTTTTTATGTGAGTGTGTACCCTTTGCAATGTCTGGATCACTTGTTTCTTTCAATCCCCTAAGGCATGCTAGGTTTAGTTTGCGACATGCCATTTGTTACTTTTGATGTGACTGTAATCGTTGTGCCTCCGCTATTTCATAAATTGCAGTTTACCTACCTCTAAGTTTCATGTACTATGGTTGATTCCCAAACTAAAAAAAAGATTTGAGTCTCTCTAAAAATAGGGGATTGAAATCGAACCAACAATCGGGGACGTAGGCCCGACAGTAGTATGTGGAGTCAGGGAAGAGAACCGTACCTAACATGTGGAGGACGTAGGCCCGACAGTAGTATGTCACGGTCTCGGCGTCTACGTTCGGTGGGCACTCCCGAAACTGCTGACGAAGCCACCTCAGGGACACCCCACTGCTGCGCCGTTTCTTGCCAGCCTCAACTGCCGCTAGGGGCCGTCCCAAGAAGTGCTCAACCCGCTGCTGCCATCCTTCAGACTCCGTGTCTCCTGTCACTGGGAATCCTCGGATTTTGACTCCAAGGATCATGGCAACGTCCTCGAGAGTGACCGTCATCTCCCCGCATGGTAGGTGAAAGCTGTGTGTCTCCGAACGCCACCGATCTATCAACGCCGTCGGTAACCATTTGAGGGTTGAAAGGTGGCGTGCCTCGACGACAAACACGAGCAACGGTAGCAAGGTTCGCCAGCTTCAGGAGGGGCGTGTACCTCTCGTTGTAGACCATGGTCGTAGAGACCTCATGTGTCATTGGCCTCAGCACATTCAAAACCTGCAAAAAAAAAACAAGCATGAAAAAGTATTAGTTCATGTCACTTTATAAAGAGCATGGACTATAGAGCAAAACATGAACAATGCAATGTTTTCATACGAATTGTTGAATATACCTCTCCGTTCTCGATCCTCCGAGCCCGGTGGTGCTCATCGAACCCTTGGATCAAGAAGGGGAACCAATCCATCCTGCAACATAAGCAATGTCAAACCATTAGTATAAGTTAAAGCATGTGTATGTGGTGCAGTAACATAAAATAAAAAACAAAAGTAAACCAATGTACCATTACACAAAGCAATTCTAGTAGATAGCTTGATGGATACACATTGTCTAAGCGATTCAGGACATTTTCTCTTATTGTGGCCCGGCTTATAGCAACCAGAGCAACGGCTCTTTTGGGTGTCCTCTACAAAATGTCTCCCAACCTTACTCGTGGTTGATCTACCTTTCGTGGCTCGGTCCATGTCCATCTGAAACCGCTTCACTGCCTAGGTCCTCTACTCTTCGAGAGTAAACCAAGATCGACCACATACTTGGGGCCATCATAAGTAGGCCATTGACTCTCATCAAGAAATGGCTCGAACTGAGGATTTCAGGTGCTCATTAGGTTCCTCAAAGAGAACTCCGCGGCCATACGGGGAGGGACCTCAGGGTCAACACGTCTAAGGCGACAGGCTGTAATCATGTGGGAGCAAGGCCTATGGTATATGATCGGTTTTCCACACGTACACTTGTTCTCATTGATCACTACTTTATGTTTTCGAGCACCCCGGTCTTCACCACCAATGTTAGTTTCGCCACCCTCTAGAATCTCATATCCATGGTTGATCGGATCAAAACATGAACCCGTCTGTCGTTTAGACTTTTTCTTTGAGAAAGCTAGTTCCTGAGATGCTAAAAGTGGCCAAGCTTTGCCTGCTGTCCATAGAGACCTCGCATGCTTCTTCCTCGAAACGAACCAAGAATTCAACTTGTAGAAGGTGAATGAGGCAATAGCAGTCACAGGCAAACCACGACAACCTCTTAGAAGGCTGTTGAACATCTCTGCCATGTTACTAGTCATGAAGCCCCATCTCCAACCACCCGTGTCATATGCAAGTGACCACTTATCCTTCGACGCCATCAACTCGCTCAAGAATTGCCTGCCATCAACATTTGTGGCTAACTTCAGGGCATCTAACTTGTCTTTGAATAATTGAACCTCTTGCTGCCTGCAAACCTCCTCAAATAATTTGAAGTTGTCCTTTGTGTGATCACGCCTTATAAGATTCTGAGCAAGGTGTCTGGTGCACCACCGGTGATGTATTTGGCCGTAACCAGGAATCTCTTGTTCTACGGCATTCAGAATGCCAGCATGCCTATCGGATATCACACAAACATCACGTCCCAGACCAATTACCACTTGTCTTACTAGCCTGAGAAACCAACACCAACTATCCGTGTCCTCCTTCCGAACAATCGCAAAGGCCAATGGCACAAGCTGGTCCTCTGCATCAGTCCCAATACAAATAAGCATTGTGCCTTCAAATTTCCCTATAAGAAAGGTCCGTCAATTGAGACGACGGGCTGCAATGCTTGAATGCTTGATGCTCTGCCTTGAACGCCCAAAACGCCCTTCCAAATACACTGGCTACCATTTCTTGTTTCACCCTCCTTAGGTAAATACTCAAGTGCATCCGGAGATTTGACGGCCCTCATTATGCGTTCAACATTACAGGGAGGCGCTCATAAGCTTCTTCCCAATTTCCAAATATTATTTCCGATTACAGCACGCTTTTTGCCCTCCATGCTTTCCCATACTTGACATAGTAATTGTACCGTTGGAAGATGATCTCAACCAACGCAGACACTGTAATGGTTGGCATATGCTTCACCACGGGGCATAATTGCCTTGCAATGAACCTAGAATTAAGCTGCAGATGGTTCTCTTACGCCTCAAAGAATGGCACAAACATGTGGTGGTTGCTTCAACGAGGTAATCTTCCATTTGCACCTTAGTCTTCCCTAGCACATACTCTCCAACCACACTGTTGTTCTTCACAAGCAACAGTGTACCTCTTCTCCTTGAATGAATTGATGACCCTAAAAGGTCGGTTGTGTACAATGGAGTACTCTTGCAACCATGATTTCAACTCATCCATGGTAGCAAACAATATGCCCTTCCGTATGATGAGGCAACCGCTAACATCAGGCACAGTTGTATCACTTGGCCCACCATCAGCTACTGCCCTATGACCATGACTAAGGTCCTCGAAATCACCAACTAGTGGATCTCTCTAAGGCAAGACCCTAGACAATATCTCTATTTCCCTTAAATTCAGACGACCAACAGGGCGATCGTCATCAGAGTCTTCGGCTATCTCCTCTACGAAGGACTCATCATCTCCAGCTATCTCCATGTCAAAACGGTTCGTAGCCCTAGCATCACCAAAGTCTTCTTCACTACTAAGATCATCTTCGTCGCTTAAGCTCATCCTCGGTAGAAAAGTCTCCGCTAAGCGTCGTCCAAACCTTCTTCTCGCATCAACAATTACATAATCATCATCCTCTTCATCACTATCATGATTGCCCTCACCATCGACAACCGGATTCTCTTCCTCATCTCCAATGTAGCCTAGTTGTGTGACAAGTATTTCTTCTTCGGCAAAGGACCATAACCTATGTGGCGGGGAAGATGGCCATGCTTCAAGTTGTCATTTCCTAAGCCGGACTCCTTACTTACTACTAAATCCAAAGATCGCACTTCGAGGCCAATACAACTGCCTTGTAATCATTCCATTCGAGACTCGTTTGTAATTTTGAGCAACCGCTTGATCCGAGGACCCTTCGACGACCCAACATCTATGACACCTTCAAAGCCCGAACATGCACGTCTCCTTCATTCCAAATTAAACTTAACCTTCACTCGCTCCACTAATCTGGGTCAAAGATGATGTTTCGAAAAATCAACAACTCCTCACACATGTCTAGAAATTCCAAACTATCATCTCTTGTCCTAACAATACGGCATCCATGATGCAACCTCACTAATTTATCCATCTACACCATCACACAACAAGTAGTGTAACATATGAATATATTTCAATCCAATAAGTAGAAACTAAAATATATCATTTCATCGTTTTCAACCCCAACAACATAATCATTTCTAGTCATAACAAATTGAAATGTAATGACCAACAAATAAATAAAATACGTAGTAACCCTAATGACCAACAAATAACTAACCCTAATGACACCTACAATAAACAAATAACCCTAATGACCAAAATAACTAGAAACCAAACTAACCTAACATGTTCGTCACATAAAAAGCTTAAACAACAATGCACTCAATCATCCTTAGCCATACATTTTGCAAATGCAAACACAAATATACCAAATCACCAAACAACCATGATTCTAAATGATTAGGGACAATGTAAGCACATCTACGCGGATAGAATGGAGGAGGAGGACCATTACCTCGAGGAAGCTTGGGAGCCGAGATCGTGGCACCGGGGTCGATTTTGGGGTTAGGGTTTCTTTGGCGGCTGGAGGAGAAGAAAAGAGATGGAGGCCGGCGGTTTCGAATGAAGGAGGAAGAAGAAGGGGCCTCGGTGCGGCCTAAAGGGTCCAGACCTCGGCGTTGAGTCGGGTCACGCCCGAGTCTGGAGGCTCGGCGTTAAGTGACCCAACGCCGAGTTCTTTGAGGCCACCGCCGTGCTTTGTTGGGCCGCCTAGGCCGCGCTTCGGATGATGGGGCGAGCTCGGCGCTTCGATGCGAACAGCGCCGAGGTTGGGTACTTGGCGACGGTGACACGACGCCGACGTCTCGGACCCGCAGCATAACGTGTCGACGACGACCCGGTCTTCCGTGACGTGGCAGTACCTCGGCGTCGAGTGACACGACGCCGAGCCTCATATCTCGGCGTCATGTGCTAAGACGCCTAAAAATGGTCTATTTTCAGAAAATGTTTTGGCGTTGGTATTTTTCTAAAAATTGTTTTCAAAAAAGACCAAAATACGAAAATTTCACATGACGGACCAGGATCGCTACTGCTGTGCAGTAGCAGTATCTCAACCGTCCAAGCAACCAGCAATGGCTAGGATCAGAGCCCTTTCTCTCCCATTTTTTTTCTCCCCATGTGCTATCGGTCTCTGTTTTTGGAGAGTTGGCGCAGTTTTCAGTTAAGTTGTTCAGCCACAAAATGTTTTTCAAAAATCCAAAATAATTCATAGTCCAAAAGTAACATGTTTCTATGAAATAATTTTTCTCAACACATATGCTTAAGTGAAAATAAAATCGTTTTTCCCGCATTTTATTTTACTTAAAATTGTTTCTGGTGGAACAATTTTCGAAAAATCTTTCTACCAGTAGGTGACTTTGTCTTACTAGCAAATATACCCGTATGTTGCAATGGGACACACAATTTATTTCCGTGCTCATGCCAATTGCTACAGCAGAAGGCATGAAATTAATCACATTTAAATTGTTTTATTCCACTTTTAGATACTGCACAAAATATCCAATTGATGTAAAAAAAAACTTAGGCAAAGTTAAAGGAGGAAGCAAGAGGCAAACTTTGGCAATGCCACCAACGCGGCGGCGCCAGCTTCTCCGATGAACGCAGTAGCAGGGCCCAAGAGGAAGCAGCGCAAACTGCTCCATCTCAGTGGCGGCGCTACGTGTGGGATAGGAGCAGCGGCGCCGCAAACCCCCAAAACCAAAAAAAATGTGACCTTATCATTTGCGGAGGCAGTCGCCTAGGTGTGTCTACCTCCGAAAATGATTTGACCCTATATTCTAAAATCATTTTTCTAGCAGTGGGTGTGGAACTGAACCTATGTGGCGGCGCGAGGAGACGAATCTTTTTTTATCGGAGCGATGTGAGGTGAAGAGACGTGAGTTGAGATGGATGCGAGCAAGTGAACCGGACTGTTGGGTCAGATAAAAAAAATAGAAGAGAAATTTCGGCTCTTTAAGAATTAGGTATAGATTTTTGAGATTTAGTTGTTACAACCTTACATGTATATTTTTTTGTAATTTTCAACATATATGCTCCGTAATGGTATATTTTTATAATTTTCATACTTGAGTCTGGCACTGTTGGTGACTCACACATGACGAGCAATCCTCCTTGCAGAGCCAAACATCACCGTGCGCATAGGGGGAGAAAAACATAGACCGATAGCACATGGGGGAGAAAAAAAAAGGGAGAGAAAGGGGCTCCGATCCTAGCCATTGCTGGTTGCTTGGACGGTTGAGATGCTTGCAATAGTAGTTACTACTGCACGCGATCCTGGTCCGCCAGGGTCGGTGAATAGACATCCTCGCGCCTCCCCAACAGCGTTTAGACGGTAGCACGGCACATGGATAGAGCCAACAAGGGTTTTTGACCTTTTTTTTTGAACTAGAGGTTTTGACTTTTGAGTTTTCTAACAGCGGCACAGCAAATGGACACGACACAGAAGGTACAATAGGTTTGTTTGGTTGGATGGCTAACCTAGTAACCCCCAACCAAACTTCAGGAAGCCACCTTCAAGCTATGTTGATTGTTTGTTTGCTAGAGCCTAGAATGCCACCGACCACCCTCAAGCCTCGCTTGCTGGAAACTTAGGGGGCGGCCGTTCTCAGGGAGCCAGGCTTGGCTAAGCACCATGTGTGAAGTCTCCTCAACGCCTACCCTCTCCCCACCGCCTCTTCAACCTTTGCCTAGGAGCACGCCTAGCCCTGGGCCGGCGGCGGCACCACGCGCTCTTCCTGCACCCTCTCTCTCCAGCAGCAGGCGCTGAATCTCCCTCTGCATCTCCGCGCTCAGCATCTCCGCTCCGCCAGCACCACCAGAAAACCCATCCACGAGCACCTCCTGCATCGGATTCTAGCTTGGCTAGAAGAACGCCACGAAACCAAACATACCATCGCCCGCTGGCAGATGCCAGACGGGACCTAAAAAGCATGCGCACGTTAAAAAAAACTCATTGCAAGTTGGCAGCATTACATGGTGAATATGTATATACATTAGGCCGACTCCTCACAGGGAGAAAAGCATATAGCAGAGGCACCGCGGAACTCTCCTCCATGCCCCGGGGAGGCGGGGTGGGGGGTTATATTACACATGCTATCTAGCCCTAGATTACACATCTAGCAACCTGAGCACCACAAAACTGGGGCTGCAGCAAGGTGTGCGAGGAGATGGACCCACAGGCCTCGCCTCGCAACGGTACACAGCTTTTGCCGGATTATACGATTATACAAGGTAGTACAACGCATCATGCCCTGACAAGTTGACCGAGGCATTGAGGGTTCCCTCACAATCATATCCTAAATAGGTACCGTAGGTCTTCCACGGTGAGCCGGGCCGCATGGCCACCGGATTTGTCTTCACCGAAAGCAGAGTTCACCATGGTTCTCTTTTCCTCCTGTTGAACAAGCCAATATCAGGGTCAGATGAGCCAAGTAACAGAATTTTACTAAGAACATAGAGTTGATGTATGATAGGATGGCTACATCAGAATCAAGATCACTTCCCATGGTACCGCAAGTGCTTTGTAGTAAACTAGGTTACACTTGCTTGGCTCTCTTTATGCTGACATGTGACAAGCGAAACATGATTAAAGCACCTTTCAGGTTATCATGCAATTCTCTCGAGGGCCAGATTATGCAACCAACTAAACATCTTTTTTTTAACAAAAATGGCAGGAGCTCTGCCTTTCAATTAAGAGAGAGTTCAAAGGACAGTACAGGTTAATACTGAGGCCCAGTGGGATCTAATAACAGTTCCCCAACTAAACATCTAATGATTGCATTCATCTTAAAAAAACATTACATGATTAAATAACATGTGTACAACAATGTTAATGCATAGCACTCATGCTCCAAAAAAAACTAATCAGGCAAATGGCCTGTAAGCAGGGGAAAAGATGCATCAGCAGCAAAACTTTTAACCAGAATTATTACCTGCAGAGCTAAAATACGATCTTCCACAGTATCTTTAACGGTCAAGCGAGATACAGTAACAGGCCTAGTCTGCCCAATCCTGTGTGCCCTATCAACTGCCTGGTCCTCAGCATAAGGGTTCCACCAGAGATCAAGGAGAATTACATGGCAAGCAGCAACCATGTTGAGACCAAGATTACCAGCTTTCAGTGACATAATCATAACTCTAACCTGAAGAAAGAAAAAACTTCTGCTTAGTATGTCTGGAAACTGTAAAAGAAACAAAGGCATGAAAAAACTAACATAACAAATGACCTCTGGGTCAGTGTTAAAATCCTTCACGGCTTTATCTCTTAAATTGAGAGACATCGTTCCATCTAGTCTCCTGTACTGTATAAGATTGTTATTCAGTGAAAGCTCCAGCAAATCCAGCATGCCAGTCCACTGGGAAAAGACAATGGCTTTCACAGGGGCTACTCCACTTCGGTTTGATTCCATTGTATCACTTTCAGTAAGGGCATTCATGTTAATGATTTTATTCAGTATATCAATGGCTGCTTGTATCTTGGATGAGACAAAGCTGATTTGACTGATTGAAGAAAACTCGTTATCTGCAGATGAACTAGCTCCTGCAGAACTGGATTCGCCAGAGATGCAAATCTTTAAAGCTCCTGACGAAAATAACAACTCAAAACCTAATGTTCTACTGCAATTAGGGGCAGGGCACATAGTCTCATCAGTCGTTATTCGTTCATGTATACATTGATAGCAGAAAACATGACCACAAATTGTCACAATAGCATCCTCAGGTGTGTCCTGCAAAAGGTATAATTTCATTGCAGAAATATAACATAAGCTGAAAGCAAAACACTTTAAAGTGTATGCAGTAGAATGAAAATTTGAAAACCAGCTATTGTAAATAACACGCTTACATATTGCATGCCATGAAATAGAAAAAATTAAAGAAAAATGAAAAGAAAAAACTTTCCTAAATGTGTGCAAACTTGGCCCAGCTCCTTGGTAATGTTAGGCGGAGATCCATGGCACAAGATTTAAGCATGACCCAGAATAAAATATGTTTTCACCAGTTCAAGCAGTCATTTTGTTATGTGTTCATGTCCAATGACAAAAACTTCTAAAAAATGAAGTTTGATGGAGTAGATTCATAACAAAGTGGGATCACCTGAAAGGCTCAGTGGCGGACCCAGGATCTGAGACCAGGGTAGTCCTGGTAAAAAAATTTCATGTGTAACACTATAAAATCCAAACAAAAAGTTCGACAAACATAGCTATAAATTAACCAAATTACGATAATACATTTAAAAGGTTCGAAACTTACATAAATACTCCCTCCATACTGGTAAAGAAAGTTGTTTAGGATATGATTTAGCATACCAAGGAGTGATTAATTAAGGGGTATTTTTTTCTGTTTTCTCTTATTAAATAGAGTTGCGGGTATCACCTATCCAACAAACTTTCGTAGCTGGATTGGTAAGCACGCTGTAGCCTGAGGCACGAGGTCCCCGGTTTGATCCCTCTCGGGTGCGTTATTTTTTTGAAGAGCTCGTGGATTTACGGTGTCTTCGGCCTGGGCTGAGACAAGAGTGACCGTGGACCGGTTTCTAAAGAGTAGTAATAGAATTTTAGACCAAATTTATGGGTAGTCCTTGGCCTACCTATGCTACCTGCTGGGTCCGCCACTGGAAAGGCTGCACCTTAAATGAAGGAACAGACCTAAGTTGGGTTTTCCAAATGTGCGTACTTTAAAAAAAATCATATTAAAAATTTACACCAACTATTTATGCAAAAAAATGCTAAATGTGTGCTGTGCAAAGAGATAACAGATAAGCATCCTTTGTTAAACATAACTATGTTTTGCAGTGCACATGTCAACATTTTTTTGAACTAATACATATTTTAACATAAATGTCTGGATTTTTTTAGAAGCTTTTAAGGTGTATACATACCCAAATTTTGGAGGAGCTAGTGCAGAAAATCTGCATTTGGCACCACATGGACAAAACTTCTAAACAACTCATCCTATGTTGGGGTAATTAACCTACAAGGGAGCCCATCCCTAATGACTCAATGAATCCAACTAATCACACATCCAGCAGTACACATGAGGCTCATATGATTACAACCAAAAAGAAGGGAAAAGGAGATAGAAAGAAGGTGAACATCAAAATAGCAGCGAGAGATTAGATTGCTTACATCGCATAAGCTACAGGCTGACCCCACTTCCAGTTTTGCAAGCAAATCTATCACCACATTCTTAGGAAGTTTCTTTGCCATTTCTATAGAACCATCACCTCCATATTCTGACTGATTGCCCTTCACAAGAATAGGATGATCACAGGCTTGCCGAAGTCGCAGCAACATTAAAAGGATGTTGGCATAGTTTTGTTTGAGTGTCCCAGCCGCAGCCAATGCCTGAAATGGGCAGGCAACACATCAGCATTCAGACATTTCAATTTCAAGATTTCCATTGCAAACATGAGATGCAAATATTTAACTACTGATCAAAACTACTATAAATCTTTAGATATACAACAATGGATTGGGTCGGTACAGAATAAATATAAAAGCATGAACTCATAAGACAATTTAAATAGAAAAATGAGGGAAAAGCTAGCTATATACAAACCCAAATAATGACTCTAGATTACGGCATTGATGTTGAGCATATGTATACAGTATACTACAGGGCAACTAATAGCCAACAAGTTTTACGAGAAAGTAGCAACACCAAGGCACTGTCCAGAAAAAAAAAAAGATAAAGCAAGTGGAACTTGAAGACATAACCAACCTTGAATTGTTGCCGAGAGCGTTCTTCCAGCATCAAATAAAACGACCGCTCCTCTTGTGTGAAATCTACTTTATTCAGATTAACTGTCTTCGGAGGTAAATTTATTATTGGTTTGCCATTAATCAGAGTTTCTACATGAAAAGGTAGCATCCAATCATTATAGAGTTTTTAACCAAATGGAAGATAGAATCAACTCAGCCAAGTCCACATGTACAACGAAAAGGAAGTATAACGTGACAAAACAAACAGAGACAAGTATAGAAAAGAAAAGACAACAATGCCCAATAAAATAGCAAGCACTTACAGGCTCAGCTCTGTAGTAACAGTAAAAGCACAAGAAACAGATTAATATTCTACTATCTTAAACGAAGCTATCTAAAACTGAAAACAACATGCTGATTTGGAATGTTAACCCCGAACATTACATGTAAGCTTAAATGAAGAAATAAATTTTAACAAACCTCTTCACATGTCCTGTAGCAACAAATAGTAGAAATAACATTTAAGTGCTGCACATAGACTAAGTAGCATAAAAAAATATAACTGCAGGAAGACAAATTGAGTAAAAATCCATTTTTATCACCTTTCGTACGACGCAGGAGAACTACCCTCAGCACAGCCTGAAGTTTCTTGTATCCATGAACTGCATCTCTAGCAATTGGGTGCTTAATCATTGTGCAAAATGAGTTATACGTGGAATACGGATCATATTTCAAGAAACGGAAATAGCTGTACAGATCATCAATTGCATTTTGTATAGGTGTTCCTGATAAGCACCATCTTCGTTTTGCTCTTAGCCCACAACAGGCTCTGGCCACTACAGTTTGGAAGTTCTTTATTGTCTGAGCTTCATCAAGCACAACCCTAAACCACCGCACTCTTGCAATTGGACCACTGTCAAGGTCAAAGTTTGAGTCCTTAAGTTTCTTCTTCTTTTTCTTAGCCTTGTTTTTCATATTTGCTGGTGGCTTTCTTTTATTGCCAGCAGAGGGTTCTTCACTGTTCTTTTGATCGGCGTTATCGTCAGCCATCTGTTTAGGTACTTCATTGGCCACAATTGTATATGTAGTGACAACTACATCATATTTTGCTAGCTCACTTGGATCTTTGGTCCTTGCACCACCATGGTAGACTAAAACAGATAATTTAGCACTTTCACTAACCTTGTCAGTTAATTCGTTAGCCCACTGCTTAAGAATACTAGCAGGGCACACTACTAGAGTACCTGCAGCTGGCCTTGTCATGGAACGTGAGGTGGATGCAGATGATGTGGAAGCTTTAGCTTTTTTCTTGCGTTCCGCTTTGGTTTCAACCATTTTATTCAGAACATTATTCGGTTGATTAACACAAAGTTCAGCACTAGTACCAGCAGCTGTTGACGATGAACTAGCGCCTTGGTCCTTGTTAGGTTCATTGCTAACAGCTTGTTCTCCCTCATCATCTTCATCAAGGTTTAGTGCTTCAGATTTCAAACGATCTGAATCAACAGACATAAATTTCGACTGTTCATTCCTCTGTTTTTGTATAAGGGCAATAGTAGACACTGTCTTCCCAAGGCCCTGTTACAACACAACTGCTTGACTGTTAGAATACAAATATGAAAGATCTAAGCGCTTATGAAGAAGTAAGGAAATCAGAAATAACCTGATCATCAGCAAGAATTCCGCCTGCACAGTGTGAGCTATTCTCCTTTGAAACCATCCAAGCCAACGCCATTTTCTTTCAAGTATTAAAGGTATGTAAGGAACATGATATCCAGCACAAAAGGAATTGACACATAATCAAAAGTTATACAAGGTTCCATGTACCTGATGCTTAAGCAGAGATACTGCTAGCACACCCTCGGGCAGATCATCTTCCCTTTTTTCACGACTGATATTCTGCATAACATATTTTGAAAACAATGACATTCATGGAGTCGAATGATGACACTCAGAGTACAATGAAATATAACAAGCAATAGCTAAGCAAAGTTTACCTGGGTACTTAAATATATAATTCCTAGAGGGAAAATAAATCATAGTTGAGCGAGAAAAATAAAAATAAAAAAAAATCTCAGATCAGATAACAGAAGTTTAAAAAAAAAGCAAAATATGCATGCCGCTCTTAAAAGTCAAAACAGACACATGTTTACAAAATAAAATGGAATCCTTCGGAAAAGGAAGATTTGTAAATGGCTACGGTAGTTGCTAAACATATTTACTGATCATCAGATCAAAATATGTGAAATGCACCATCAATCTCTGGCTTCCTTGATTGAAGTACACTTACAATTCATTTTCTGAAAGATCTAGCGAATGGAGCTGAAACCTTTTTTTTTTGGGTAAAGTATGGATCAGGATATAATCTTAGGAGCAAAATGAGAAACTCAAAATATAAGTATTGCAAGGATAAACTTTCAGGCTGCACATGGTGTTGCTGCAGATTATGATAAATGGGTAGTCTCCCGTTTGCTAGAACTGTTTTAAAATATTTAGGCATTGAGTCAGCTATGTTTTGAAAAGCATGTTGCGCATGGACATATTGTTACATTTCAAACAACAGAGTAAGTCACACGAGATAAAGAAAGGGGACAATCATCCACCAGAGATCAGACAATCTAATTTGTTAACCAATAATCAAATTTTCTAAATGACATGCTAGATTTATCAGAACTGCTTTGCTACTAAAAAAGTGCCCCACACACAAGAAAGAGTAAATGAAGCATGCAAAAATCCCATTAAATCATTTTACCAGTGTCACAACATAAAAAGCAACCATAAAGTAAAATGAAACGTAAATATTTGTATGAATGATTTATTCAAATTCAACAGGTTGGAAGATGCAATTTATTTTCTTTGAAAGCATTTATACAGCAATCAAACATGTCGACATGATAAACTTAATGTGATTCTCTCTATCCCTTATAGAATATCCTGATGATGAAGTGGGAAACTACCAATTAGATAAATTAAAATATTGCCTACCACTACCACCCACTGATTCATCAAGTCAAGCCAGCACTGAGAACAATGGTTACATTGTATATAAACTGACATCGATGTAAGTACAAGCGAAGAGGAGATTATTATTAATCCAAATGCATTCAGATTGCAACTGGATTCAGCACACCACAGTATTAGCTGGGCAGGAAGCAAGCAACATGTACACATAAATGATCAAAGATACCTGCAGGGCTTCTTGATATACTGCTCTCTCATCATAATCTAAGACCCTATTTTCAGGATTAAGGCGATTGCGTGTCTCAAAGCCATTAGCAACTTCACTGTTATTAGAACTGGTTGCTCCAACCATTGGAGGTAGTACCCTATGTGAGGTAGAACCTCCATATACAACAACATCATCTGCCCATATAAAAAGGGATGAAGATTAATGTTACTACAGAAAATCTGAACCATTTCCAATGTTTGTATAATCGATAAAATTATATCATGTGATGCTAGCGTACGCACCATCATCATCCACTTTCTGGGTATTAAGTGTGCTAGAACTTCCTCTTGCAATTATTGAAGATGAAGGTTGTAAATTTCCATTGGCAGTATTTGTCCCCATTCTGTTTTCACCGACATTTGGTGACCTTGTAGTGGAAAAATGGGGTGGGAGCTTGCGTGTCTCACTAGCAGCAATTGGATGCATAGATTTCGATGCGTTGCCATTTGAAAAGGATGGTGGAAGGACCCTCTTGTTATTGTCATTTGCATCAGCTGTAGAACTGCTATCAATTCTACTGGAGGTAGAAAGGCCCTGTCGCATAGCCATGTGAGAACTTGGATAGGGACGAATCATGTCCCCTGAACCAACTGTATAACGACTACTCTCAGCATTTCTACCATTTGTAACGGATGCTGGAAGAATCCTGTATTGACCATTGTTGTTCTCAGTAGGCCTAACCGACGACGGAGCAGGAGCGCTCCTCTGCCAATCTTCATCCTCAAAATTGATTATACGTCCTTCATTTTGATCAAACCTTGTGATTGCAGATGCTGGCTGGTGGTCATCACCGAAAATTGAGTCATCATCACTATCCGAACTCAGGTCAATAATGGCACCGTTTTCATTCATATTGGCAGCTAGCACATGCACCGTATATGTGTTATCAGGACTTTGTTTTTCTTAGCATGACTAAACCATTCATGAACCAATGGTTTGATTTCGATCTTATCTTAATAAACAGCACTTCCTTTTTTACAGATGATCACCAAGCTAAAGAGAGCACACCACACATCTCACAGTAGCGCTCACAGTTATTCGAGCTACCCTCACTGTGGGAGTAACCTGCAGGAAGATCAAACATGTTAGAGCTGACTAAATAACAAGTAGTCACAAATCGGAACAGCAATAGGTGCATAACAGTAGGGAAGCTATATATGTAACACAAAATAAACAATAATGAAGGAACAAGATCTCTTCCAATCAGCGATATTGAAATAACAGCTCCCCCAACATGTCGGACATAACCATTACATATACAGCCACAGCCCAAGTTTTTGGAAAATCTGGTGTTAGGGCATTTATTGTTTCTGGCTAATGTGGCATGCACTGGGAGAGCAAGCCTAGATCAAAACCTGGATCAGATCGAATTGGAGCATTCAACGATCATAGATCCCACCCAAAGACAGGCAACCGGACCAAATCTTACATGGCTGAGAGCCTGAGACCCCTGTGTTCCCGACGGGATCAGCCAATCTGGCATAGGACGCACGCTCCCAAACATATATTTATTAAAAAAAAATCCCAAACCCGCCGCAGCCCAGAGGCCGAGACTCGGCGTGGGACACGAGGGCTCACTTGCACGGAATCCCGCAAACTCTTCTCAAAAATAGATTGAACTCCATGTTCATCACCTAATCGACAACTAACAGGTCCTACGGTAGCAAGCAATGGCGATCTAGCACGGCACGCTGCAGAAAAAAAAAAGGAGGAGATCCTCGTCGAATCAACCGATGGATTGGACCGGGAGGTAGGGTACCAAGCAGCGCAACAATCCACGCACGTGAAAGCGGCGGTAAAAGTGTTCGGTTTTGATCGAGAACAAAACCGACCCCTGGAACCTCGAGGGAACCCCCACCCCACCTCGCCCATCATCCATGCGGAGCAAGCGGACTCACCACCGAGAAGGGAAGGGACCGCCGGATGGCCCAGGGAGAGGAGCAGCGGCGGCGCGGCGGAGGATCCGGGGGAGAGCGAGGGCGGCTAGAGGGAGACCGGCGGCGTTGCGGTCGGGGGATATTCAGGCTAGGTTTGGACTTCGGCAACTGGCGATGGCGAGGCGTTGCGAGGAAGTGGCAGTCGCACGCCAGCAGGGCCAGGGGCGAATGCCAGTGTCAGGCTTGCCCGGTCGGTCGCGGCGTCGGGTGCGTGCGCGGTGCCGGTGCGCCCCCGTGCACGCCTGCATCCCCATTCCGTTGAAAATCTATTTCCCCATCTCTTTTTTTTTTTGTCAAGAAAATCCCCATCGTCCCAGATAATAATATTCACGTAGGGCTTGGGAATATAAAAAAAAATGCTTTCGATCACTCCAACGGAATGTTCCGGTACCAGATTGTACCGTATCGGATAAAAGTATGGAATTAAAGATAGTGTTGAGAGGCAAAAATTGGAACTTTGGTCAGTTCCAGAATCAGTCTATGGCAGCTTTGGCCCAACCTATCCATATGAAACTATATGAAAATAGTATCATAGTTTTGTCCTACTTTTCCTATCCCATCTTGTTGTTCACCAAGGATGGCATCGTAGACTTGCTAGCCAACCTAGGACTGCCGACGTTCTTGCCTCGACGAGGTCCATCCTGAGCGAGAGCTTCGACGGTTCCTTTACTAATTTATCAGAAAATTAGTCATTCTTTGTCACGTAAGCGCAATAGCTATCTTTGCTTGTAAACATTGTTGATGTGTAATCAATCTTTGCATCAACACATATAAATATTATGATTTTACAATTCTTACAAACTTTAACATGTTATCAATAGATATCATTTAGTACAGAAAGTGCATAACACAAAACTACAAATTAGAACCAACATTAACGAAATACTCCATTTGTCCCAAAAAATCTTGTTTCTCGAGTAGCCAAACAATCATTTCATCAAACATATACATAATTACAAATATTATGATATGTTCTTGACTAATCATAAAATATATTTTTATAATAAATCTAGTTATAGATGGGATTAATTTTCTCCTTAAAAAGTGAGATTTGTGTTTTTTACCTGAAGAAACAACATGTCTTGAGTTGAAAGAAGGACGTTGAATATTCATCCGACCTATACAAGTAAAGTCAACCCTAGGCTACAAGGTGGCCAGGAGTTTACGCTCACTCGCTACTAATAACAATAACAATGCTCATCTTCTACCCTCGCTCATCCCCTACCTCCGCCCAACCCCTGTCGGTCTCGCCCACCGCCCGGCCAGCGGTGCTCGTGGCTCTACTGCCCACCTTCGCCACTCCTTCCCCACTCTTCTCTAATTACAAGGAGAAAGATGAAGATTTCTTCACCCCTGCCGCCTCACCCGCACCCCCTCAACCTACCACCACCACATGCCCCTACTCCCTCTAACGCCGCTGAGCATGGAAACCTCCCCTGAAATCCGAAACTCCAGACCAAATCCCTACTGTTTTGTAAATATAGAAAAATCCCGTCTTAGTATAGTATTATTATTTTCAATTGTTTCCATCTGAGCGGCAACTCAAAGCGTCCATAGGATTAACCTAAAGTTTACAATTCAATTCAAGTTTGTACTGAATACTAGCGATTTGGATCCAAACCACCAAAAACCAAGTTCTCAAACACATACTTATATAGAAGGATAAAATCATTTCATGAGCACTAGATTATAGCAGGTATTGTAACACATGGACAAAAAAAGCATGTTTGGTTCTTGGACAAGCCCCTTGTCTCGCTTTGCCTAGTTAGGTGGCCGACGGAAGAACGGTTTGGATTTCAAGCACGCTGTTCTCGGGGTATACAATGGCAAGTTTTTTGTTTTCTATGAGGTGGGAAATCAATTTTAGCTGGCCCAGGCTAGCAAGGTAATCCTCGCTTGCGCAGGTTAGGCAGCAAGACTCACCTGGAACTGAATGCACTCGTCATCTACCTAAAAAAACACACACACACACAGATGAAAATTGCATTTTAGTCTCTTCGTTTCAAATCATAAATCGTTTTGCCTTTTGAGAGCTATATAATTGTTGCTATGTATCTAGGCATGCCATATATTAGTTTATAACAAGAAGTATGTACCTAAAAAATTAAAACAGCTTATAATTGAAACAGAATTGTAGTGTATACAACAGCATACAATCTTTTTTCGGAAACACCTAAGAGCTGTATTTCTTTGCATTAATAAGAAGAACAAGAACCCTTATAAACACACACCAACCCATCAACACAATTGTCAAAAAAAAAAGCAAAGAAAAAACACAAAAACAGCACAGATCATGCAACAGGAAAACAGCACAGATCATGCAAGTTACACAGATTGCCGATGACAAAAGATACATGACCTGACCAAGCCTAAGTTTGCTACAGTTTCCTACAATCTTAATTGCAATAGCCAATATAGACAGAAAATAGGCATGAGAGCAAATGAGAAGGCCGGTTTTACAATTTGTTCTACATCTTGCCGCTTTCTGTTTGCAATTTCACTTGCAAAACACAAAGTGGGCGCAAATTCCATCACCACCTGTGTAAAACAAAAATATAGCATCATGCTTCAAATTGACATTCGCAACACAACTCATGTACAGTTTCAACCATCAAATCTCATGCTCAGATCATTTCCTGTGAATGGAACTTGTAGAAATGCAACATGCCTGTAACGCATTACTGAGTTCAAGATTGAAATTGTTCTGCATTTACATGAAACAAAAGAGGGAGCATTCCTATGGGGAAAATTCACTACATTAAATCAATGACGAATCTATGAGTTATTAACCAGATACATCTCTACAAGGAAGGTAGGGAGAGAGGAATGTACAGATGGGGGTGGTGAGACTGTTACCCTGCTATCTAAAAGCTAAACTCCCCATGATCAGGTAGCCAAGGTGTGAGTCGGAAAAAGAATCCTGTAGACTAAAATCTCCAAAAGGGAGAAACAACCAAATACCATCTTATCTGCCTACAATCCTTTTTTACTAGCCTAGGAAAACGTTTGGTCTCGTTTTGAGCCAATGCACCATCTCCTTGTCAAGCGGGGAATTATTCAACACGGCGTCCATCATTGGACTACCAAAGAATCTCGGATCACTCTTGAACACCCATATCCTATCCTTTGGCCATGGTCTCTGTGCCTGCTTTTCCTGTATAATCAACGACCAGAACCAAATAGTAAGGGAAAACAATTCGTAAGATGATGCCAGTCTTCACATTTCCAACTTTTTATAGGCGAAGACAGTGATTACTGGGATGCAAAGAAAAAGAAGCATGAATGCTACATCACAGATAGGATCAATTAGCAGTCAATAGGCACAAATGTCTTACGCAAAGTACTGACAATATGCCAAGTTACACTAAGATAAACATATTGGGAAGAAATTGAGAAAAAATAGCTGGCAAGAAAACTTAATGTTTTCTTCTAGAAGATAAAGGACAATAAGAACAATTAAACATCAGAATTTTATCAACGTAAAAGCATTCCATGTGCACAAAGTTATGAGAAGTAGCACAAAATGATTCAGAAAAATAATGGTAGCGATAGGTAATGATGTCTGATATATGGGGTCTACAGCACCAAATTATTTCATGATCCAACTTTTCTAGAACAAAATAATGAGTGTGCAAAACAGTTAAACTGTCGTTGCTTGTTTTTTTGGAATTTTGTTTTCTCTACCTCCCATTCCAAAATGAGTTCAAGCACATGATTTCTGCAATCTGGTAACCCCAAGCAATCACAAAATAGCACTTACCATGCGCGATAACATGAATCTCACAGTTCTGTTCCCATAAACTCGCTCTTGTGATGGCTTTGCAGACTTCACATAGAAGGACGAGACATCTGGCAATGACATGCAACCTTTTCTAGCTCTTGTCAATCTAGATTCAGGTTCTGAATTCTGGCTATACCAATAGATAAGCTGGGCTAAGCAATAATTTTCTGGGTATGTCTTGCAGTACTCCTGAAAGCCTGGTCCCAGTTTATCAGCATATTTGGGGCCTAAGTCAAGCGGACTGATATGAACTGGTGGAGATTTTACTGTCTTATAATCCTGCACGCAGCCATACTTGAGTCAGCTCTAAAGAACAGATGGCAAAACCACAACCATCATTTTCTCAGTAAGTAATAAGCTTTCACTTACCCGGACTCGGAAGAAGCACTTTGTATAAGCATACAAATGAATCAAATCTGCAGCAGCATCATGACGGCACTTGTAAGTGCATGGAAGAGTTCGCAATTCATCACGCAACCTGTACAAAAGGAGGATCAGATTCCACTGACAAGTAATTGTAGGGGAGAAGTCATTGCACATAGAGGAAATACTGATCAGGTCCGAAACTTACCACAAGAGAGAATTCCTGATGCCTCCCTCAATATCTTCAGAGTCTGATGGATCATGAGCATGGATTTTGGCCTTCAGATCACTAAGTACCTCTTCTTCAACATGAGGTTCCATCGACTGAAGGAGTTCAGCAACTATCGAACTGTCCCCTTTCCAGATGGCAGATACCAGACCTTTCCCAGACAACCTTACCAGGGGAGGAGGAGCATTCTTTGGGTCTCCAAATATGCATCTCATAACATATCTCACCTGAAGAGTTGGTAGAGAAGCCAATAAGGATAAGCAATGATACAATACGTATGGTAGCTAGGTATCATCAAACAAGCCCAAGATTGAACATAAATAAATATTCACCTTGTCAAGTGTATGCACTATTTGCTGTAATCTTGAATTTAATACTCCCTCTGCCTGAGAGTCGCGACATAATTAGGTCACATTCAGGCAAATGAGAAAGGGGGGGAAAAGAACTAGGAGGCCTGACCAAGCCATCAGCTAATTTACCTGAACCTCAGCATCATTCTTCTCAGAATCCATGTTTATATCTATAAGGAACTGGTGCTTCTCATCCACATTGTGCCTTAAGATCTCATCAGGGAGTTTCTGTCTCTCAAGGTATATAAACCGCACCTTTTACAACAATAGTTGATATAAGGACCAAGCTAAATTGGTTACAACATCAGAACAGAAACTGAACAAAAGACAGCTATTACAATTACCAGGTGAGCCGTGTAAGCAACAAGCCATCCAGGCAAACCAGCAAGCAAACAGGTACCAAGACCAGCTCTACCCAAGTCAATTAAGTCTTGTTGAGAGACAGAGTCTGTTTCACAAGCCTGTAGCAGCAGGCTATGCCTATCGAGCACACCATGGAATTCCATTAATACCTGATTCACAACGACAGCAGTAGATGTGAACATGTCAGAATCATGCAAATAATCAATAAATATTCGCACTACAGGCATTCCTTCTAAACTATCCACCAGCACACTTCCAAAAGTTCACCTTCTCAAAGGCTCCTTCGCCAGAAAAATTCAAATAGCTGCCCCGGCACACTTGACTTCCACAGAGGCAGACTGATGCTTCATGTTCTTCTTTGCTCTAGCAAAATAAGTATGAAGGCATCAAACTTTGCAATGTAAATATGTAATAAATAATTTCATAAAGGAACCAGAAATGTGCTCACCTCAGTTACTGAATTGTAATCAAAAGTGATTTCCTCGCCTTCTGCAATTGGTCGAAGTGTGTAAACTCCAATCTGGTATTTACCATCCACTGCTGTCACTCTATTAAAAAAAAAAATCAAGAAGCATAAATTAGTGGACATTAACCTTAGGGAGAGAAAAAAAGTCCAAGCATTTTGAGACATGCAAACATGGTAGCACATACATGTTTCAAGTTATCAATGGTTGAGTATCAATTTAATTAGCACAGAAATGCATAAGCATAACCAAGCAAACGTGCACTGAAGTTTATCAAAGCAACTTGATACATAAATCCCAACTCAGAATAGAACCGTGTTCCATGAAATGGAATGAAGCTGGATGTGCGAGAACAGCTACATTATATTGCTCAATGCTCAGCCATACTGAGTTCCAGACCCGCAAAATATAATAAACATTATTTATGGAGTGCCAAGTATCACCCACAGCAGAATTCCAGGAAAAAAGGATTTATTAGAGTAACAACAGAGCAGTGCAAATTTAGGAAGTAAAGCTGCAATGAAACAGTTAACATTCACAAGGTAGAAATCTGAAGCTCAAAAGGAGCTTACTTTGCTTCGCAGTTAGGGTTGCAGGAGTGGCAGATTCTACTCGCGTAGTTGGCCTTGTGCATCGCATCAACAAAAACCAAGTCATAGCCATCTCGGTCTCCCTTCCATCATGACAGAAGTAAAAGGTTAATAGGATGAAAAAGACCATGAATTGAAATGACACCAGTTACAGGTAAGATCTCATTAAAATCAGAGGCTGAACACAACCTTTGGCCTTTCTAACATAATGTTGTAAAACTCAGGAGCTTGATCTTCGCTGTTGTTTTGGATATGTTTAATACCATCTTGCTTTTCATACCATCTCCAAGAAGGGTAAACCTGCAATGTTTATAAATCAACATATTCATGGCTATACTACTGCCCCTCGTTCTAGGTAGAATGGATGAATATTTAAAACTAAGGCATACCTCCCCAAAGAACTCGACAACAAAGTCATCTACACCAAATCCACCTTTTTTGTTGCAAACAACACCAAGACCCTGGAAAAGATGTACCAAACGTGTAAAAAAGACACAAGAAATGGACCTGAGTTAATAGGTTGCTGAAGGCATACCTTTCTATAAGCAACAAAGTTCTGATCAGAGCGATTTCTCATGGCCTTCAGCATCCCCAAGCACATCTTTGAAGTTCGCCTGTCACCACTATCCTCCGCAGATCTTTGGATTTCTTCAATGACAGGCCTAAGGCTGTAAGTCATAGGGGTATTTCCCGAACCAGTGAAATGCCTAACTTGCTTATTCAATGTATTCAGAAGCAACTGCATTGAAAATATTTTGGGTGAGTTCAAAGCTTGAGAGAGAGAGAGAGGGAGAGAGAGAGAGAGAGAGAGAGAGAGAGAGAGGAGTGTAACCTAGCACCAATTACCTCCTCAATAAAGATATGCTTGTCGGTAGGTGACAACTCAAGATCAGCAGGCATAATGTCACTCAGTAGATTGTGTGTGTATGGATCTATGCCATATACTTCTTGCTCAAGAATTTCATCTCCTGCTACTTTTCGGGGTTGATAATCCTTAACCTCTGGAAGCTCCAAGTTTTCGGTGCCATTCTTCTGCGACAGCAACTTCTCAGAATAGTCATCAGGTAAAGCAACTCTCATTTTTCGTTGTACTTCCTCCACATCTGCTACAATAAGGTACTCCTCAATAACTTCATACTTCCTAGTAACTGGAGGAACAAGGCTGGCCTTTGTCATGCGGGCACCCAATATACGATCATCAGTCACAGGTTCCCCAAGTTCAATTAACTTTAGACCATTTCCTTTTAAATCCCAAGCTCCAGAATTTACATCAAGGTCACTCTCAGTATCAGAAACAGTAGTTTCACTCTCAGTTTCATCACCATCAGAGTAGCCATCATCATCATCAGATGTTTCACTACCAGAGTAGACACCCTTTTTCTTTAATTTAGACAGGCTTCTTTTGATTTCAAGGTCAAATGCACGAGATGAATTATCTGCTCCAGCAGCCACCAAATTTGCTCCTCTTGTTTTGCTTTGCTTCTTTTTTAGTTTAGTATCAAATGAATATTGACTAACATCCAGGCTGTCCTGGGCTGCTGCTCCATTTCTCTCAGAAATGTACCTTGGGTTCCCTAGTCTCTTTGCTAGCTGTATGAAGGAGACAACAATTTGCTTTATATCTCCTGAATCATTGCCATCTTTATATCTGAGGTAGAAAGGAACTGTTAGAAATCACATAAACTTCTAGAAATCTTTAACTAGGTTATACTAGGTCATTTTTACCTTAATGCATCTTGGCACATGGTACGGATGTCATGCTTGATGGTACGAAAGCCATGGCGAGCATAATACCCATTTTTCAACCTACCTTCGATCTTGGAAACCTGTAAAATGGAACAGATATGGGTGTGAAGTATTAGTACATCGTATTAGACCATCAAGAGGACTCATCCAAATAATTATCAAATAGTGATGGTACCTTTGGAATGAAAAAATCAAATTTGTTATTCCTCATAATTTCTCTCAATCTGTTTATGACAAACTCTTCCATCTTCCTGTAACTGTTCTCTGCCTGTCTCTGCATCAAACGCCTCATTTCTGCATCCCTCGACAAAACTGCAGAGGACTTTCTAGCATCAAGCAATTTTGATCTTTTATAGAAACCTTGGCCAAATGAAAGGTTAGCATTCTCTCTATTTGAAATATCAGCAAAATAACCATCAAGCTCATCAGAACCATCCAGCTGATTGGTGAAGTTCCTTGCAACTTTGGATGCGTAGTTGTTCCCATCACCTATCTGCTTCAAGGTTTTCATTTTCCGATATGACTCTGGATTCAATGAGCTCCTGATCCATTTTACATGCTGAAATTTATTTTTCAGATCCCCTAGATGACCGCAGCCTTGAATGTGAACATAAGATATTTGTGGAAGCTGCTCAAGTACTCTGCCAAGGGCATGTGAACTAAGATTCGAACAACCAGCTAAAATAAGAGTCCTAATATTTTGCTTCTCATAACCAGCCTGAAAGGAAGATGAATGATTTTGAGTCCAAAGTTAGGAGATGACAGAAGTAATTTCTCAAAAGTTCAAACAGATAGGCAAGACACATACCATAATATCACAAAACACAGAATCAGTGCAAAGAGGGCCAACAGAAGACAGATCAATGAATCTACACATGTTCCTGTAATACTTCGCGGCAGCATTCCAGCTCCTACAGGTAGCTGCAGAAGAAATAAGTGATTTCACATCTGCCCTCATAAAATGGAAGATTCTTGCTAACACATGGCCGTTTAGTAAACCCCAGCTTTCATTTCCTGCTCTGGGATTCACAAAATCATTATCAACAGAAGATGTTCCATCACATAACTCTTCAAAACAGATGTCCTCCTTCCGACTGGCAAGAATGTCTTCTGACAAATGAATATCTTCATCACTCTGGTCAGGTAGCAACTTTGCCCTTTTTGCGGACCCACCATCTTCTGTAAGGCTCACAAAAGAAAAGGAAATGTTACAGACGTCCACAAATTTCGATCAGTGATTAGCTAGAAGGAATATGTGAGTGAAACAAATTTGACGGTTCAAGATTTCAAATGCATTAAGATTAGCTTAAAGTTAAAATTTAAGAGCTGAAAAGTAAGTAAATAAGATGTCATGTAAGACATGACCACAGTACCTGGCAGGAAATTCCTAGATGCTGAATTGTGAGAAAAGTATGCTTCAAACTCTTTTTTTGGTTGCTTTGCTGAAATCCATGGATCCAAGACCTCATTTATAGCTAAAGTAAGTTCCCTGCTCTTGAAATATTTCATGACTAGTTCATGTAATTTACCACGTGTATAACCCACGAACTGGGGGTGCAACTCATGAAAGCTACCTGATCCTTGGTTCACACCAAAATTATATTGGTCTGGGTGCATAAGAGCAGCAGTAGAATTTGAGTTCCGTGCTGCACTGGGAACAGAGCTTCCAGGTTTTAAATCCTTAAGAACTGGAAACCATGTGTTATCAATCTTACGGAATACACTACTTTGTTCAATGATAGTGCCCTTTTTAACTAATTCTTGCAATTCGGAATAAGAAAATGGACCATGCTCATGCCCAGTGCCATCAAGGTAGTACCAGTCACCCCGATAAATTGACAGCTCATCAACAGTGCATACACGGTCCTTTGGAATGTTTGGAACAGACTTGGACTTGTGCAAACTTTGTGAATCATGGTCATGGTGCTTCCTGAAATGCGACGAACCTTCATGGACAGAACTTCTCTCAGCCCCAATTGAATGGGAGCGTGAAGATCTCGACAGTGGTCGATCAGTTCCTCTGGGTTTTGTACGGGGTTCAACAGATGATTGATCTTTAACAACACGAGAATTTATCCTAACCACTGGAAGCATCATGCCCTTCACTCCCCTAGGAGGCTGTCTGGTCTGACCTGGCCTACCAGGCACAACATCGCCTTTAGTGCTGTCATTAACACTGTCAGTATCTTCTTCTGTCGATGAGAATGCCCACAATGGCAGGTCATGCTTTTTAGCACGTACAGGGTAGTACAACTCATCCTTGCAGGGCCGGCGTGGATCCTCATAGCTACCTTTTGGCATTTGACACAGAGGATACCCTTCATTGAGAACAAGTTTTTTCCTGAATGGAGTATCTTGGCTCAATTCATCATTTCTCCTCCAGTCACCACCTTTGCAAGACCATCTCCCAGAAAACCATTCGCTAGACTCAACATAATGATGAAAGTTGTTCCTCTCCACAGAAACAAGGCCATAAGCATCCGTTGCTCTATTTTCTAAGAATTCTGTGCCTCCATTGATTCCATCGTCTCCTTCAGTATGCACATGGAACCTAGCAAAATCTGACATAATAATAATAATATATAAATCACAAATGCCAAGGATAACAGAATAAAGGCAACCAAAGAATTATATGGTGGCATCATGAAAGAACTACAAGAGAAGAACTTCTGTAGTGTTGATGAAACAATTTTCAATATGTTTCCTGAAGAAATATTAGGCTCAAAAGCAGATGATAAAATACAAAAACCAGAACACAGAGTCAGCATCTTAAAGTTGGATACCATCTAAAACGAAGAAAAACATATAGCCATTACCAAAAATTGGACAAGGAACAGTGCAAATTCTAAGGCCAAATAAAATTTGAACTGATACAGTACCTTCAGGGCGACTCCATCTTTGCCAATCAGCAGGCTGAAAATCTGCACCTAAAAGCTCTGCAATTTCCAAATGGCAAAATGCTACAACATTAGTACAGCCATGAGGTTTAACTCCATAAATCTGTGTAAGTTCAGGCCTTCAGGGTGCTGGGAAAGTAAAATGCAAGATGAAGTACAGTGCAATTTTATTCAAAACAAATCAAAGAACAAAAAAAAAGCAGATATCTGACATGGCCTGGGAAGTTCTGTATTTGCATTTACACCCCCCCCCCAAAAAAAGTATTAATTGTCCAATTAAACTTACAGATCAACATCCTGATTTTAGAAGGCAGATTAGAGATCTACCTTCAAACACGGTATAAATAGATCTGATGCAATTACACAGAAATCCAAATACAGAGCTTTAGAAGGATATATATGTAAAAAAGTGTAACTTGTTATGGTCGTCAGATAAAAAAAAATGTTCCCGGGGTGCAGATGCAAAACAGTTGAAGCAATTAAAATTCCTAGAAAAACCAAGGTCAGGGCCATTAGATTTTTGCAACAGAAAACTGTATCCAAACAAGACCAATAATGCAAGCTTATGGGCCCAAACGGCCCAAACCCAAGCAAACAGACATCATATAACACCTCATCGGCTCTCTCGGGTGCATACTGCAATCATGATGGGATGCGTGTTTATTGCCTCCACAACCACAAGAAACCATAACCAAGGGCTTCGCAGCCAACTCCAAAAGGATATATAACAAAAAAAAAACGGAGAACCCAAGTCCAGCCCAGCCCACAGCAAAAACACGGGATCTTGAAATATAGCAAAGAGAACTTCTGTTTTACCTCCAATGATCTCGAGCTCCTGGCCATGCACCAAAATTGATCCATCCATCAGTGCTTCAACCCTATCATCAATGTAGAATTCTTCACTATCTTCAGCAGAAGCTTCCTCCATTTGTTTATCCTCAGCACCTGATGCCAAGTTAGAAGCCTCCTCTAGAGCTTCATCGAGCAAATTTCCTGGGGCTTCTGGTGGGTTAACCATCTGTGTTGAAGTGTCCGAATATAAAGAGGGGAAATCAGATGGCACCAGTGGTGAAGCTGCATTCTCTACAGTCACCCATCGGTTGCTATCAGCATGTTTTATCAGATGGTCAGAAAGAAGATATCCATCTTCCACCAGCTTCTTCAACTCAGCAAGCTTGGAAGGTCCTTGCTCGATACCGAAGTGATCAAGGTAAAACCACCTCCCTATATCACAAATTGGTTCAGTGGGTTCAGGTGCTGCACTAATGTGAGGTGGGGTGTCACAGATATCCATGTCTTCTATCATATCTTCAGCTAGAACTCCAGTTGGCTCAGGTTCTGGTGGTGGAGGCAGGGGAGGCGGTACAGCAGGTGGAAGAGGCGGAGGTGGCGGAGGCGGGGGTGGTGGCGGTGGTAGTGGAGGTGGCAGTGGCAGTTCAGTGTGCTGACTGCTTTCAGTGGGCTTTTCTTTGGAGATTTTCTCCTCATTCTTCCCATTGCTACCACTCTTGGTCTTTGAAGATTGCTTCGCTGATTTGCTTTTGTGCTGTGATTTTTCTGAGCTTTTGCCACTTCTGCTCTTCTTGCTTGATTCATGAGTGTCAGTAGGCCGACAACGTTCAGAAGGCGATCTGTCATGACGAAATGGGCTACGGTCTCTGACATCCTCATGCTGGACCCTCCCACGAGGGGAATTATCAACACGACTTGGTGTGTTATCCCTCAAATGGGGCTGACGAGCTCTATGTCGAGGTGAAATATATGGACTGTGGTCTCTGCTATCGTAGTGGCGAGCACGCTCTCGATGTGGGGAGCGCTCCAAGCGGCTCGGGCTCCGGTCATACCTGTCATGACGAAAGCGATCATGAGGAAAACGGCCCAAGATGCCTGGGCTCCTCTCGTGCCTATCACGCCGATCCCATGTTGGTGGCGAGACCTCACTATTTCTCCCAGACAAATGTCTGGCACCAGATAAACTCTTCCCTTCTCCCTTCCTGCGACTTTTTGATCCTGACTGATCAGAGGTGTCAGCGCGGTGCTTGTGGTTAATGCTCTGAGGCTCTGTTTGCCGGTTCTTCCTTACACTGCCACTCATGCTGCTCTCTGGCTTAATTTCACCAGGCTCTTCATCAGAATCCCGGAAGGAGCCTTTCTGGGCAGATGAACTTGGCCTCCTGCCATTATCATCGGCCTGGTGGGACTTGGCATCCCGCCTTTTTTCTGGCGGTGCAATCTCCCCTGGCTCCACTTCATCCTTGATAGGCTTCCTGGTGCTCTTCCCAGAAGACTTTTCCTTCCTTTGCCTCTCCGGCGGCAGCTCTACCTTCTCAACCTCCCCGTTTCTCCTTGACTTCTTCAATGGCACTGCTTGCTTCGTACTCACAATCTCCCCAGGCTCCACCTCCACAGCAGCTGCGGAGGCTGCCAGCACCTTCCTCCACTTCTTAGGTGGCATGCTCCTCTCAGGCAACCCATTGGTCTCGGCCTCCCCATTGAGCAGCTCCCCCTCCTCCAGGTCAGCAGCTGTCGCCGACTGATGGTTCTTCCGGTGCTGCTGCTGGTGGTGGTGGTGGCCATGAGCTCTCTCCCCCTTGTCCGGCATCGCTTCTCCCGCTCCTCCTCTCCTCACGAGGGCGCCGGCACGGAAGCCCTCGACGGCGCGGACGGCGCACGCGACTCCCCCATCTCCCATGGAAAACCTAGGAGGCTGTCGGGGGCCGTCGTCCGCCACGCTGTGCCCCACGGTGCGCTTCAGAACCCTAGCTCCCCGGGGCTCTCCACGTTCATCTCCGTCGCCGGCACCGCAAAACCCTAATCACAGAGCAGCAGTGTATCAGCCAAGGGCGGAATCAGGCAGAAGCAATGGGAGGGGCGCGAATTGGCGCGGGGGAACCGGGCCGGATCGAAGCGGCCGCGGATCAGGGCGCGTACCTGCGGGGAATTGAATAGCGGCGCCTCAGATCGGGAGATCCGCGGTGGCGAGGGATCGGTCACCGGCGGCGAGCTCCCCTCTCCCGCCCCCTGCGCGCGGCCCCGGAAGCTTCCGGGATTGGGGGCTCCACACCTCGCGCGCTCTCGCGTCGTGGCCTTGGCGAGGCGCGGGCGCGCTCGCTATCGCCTGGGTTTGTGTGTGTTGGCTTTTCGGGACTAATGTCTCGTTTGTTCGTAAAGCCGCCTCCGCGGCCGCGGCCTCGCCCTTATGAGGAGGTGGGGGAAGGAACGAAGACGGGACGCAGTCTATCCCTCTCCGGGAGGAGGGGAGGTGCCATTTTATCGGGCCCTTTACCGGCAAACGGTTTTCCAGATTGCACCATTGCTTCGCGCCGTATTTGCAGGTTAGTCCCTGGTGTGTTTGTTCACGTGGATGTGACTAAATCAAATTTCCAATATGTTTTCTTCGTGTGAGATCGAGGAACCTTTCTCGAGACTCCAGCTATGGATGAAGTTTGGAGCAAATTAGAGGACCGATGGTGCATTTTACTCTACGTGAGTTCTAGTATTTCTAGAATGATCTTAGTATTTTTGGAAAGTACCCAAGTTAATATGGTATCATCTGTAAAATTAACCGCCACCAACTAGCCTAATATGCTATCAGTAGATTTGGTAGCATGTTGTACTAAGGGTGACGAGATTTGAAGGTAGAAAGTTATTGCGGCATTATCTATCTAAAATAATCAATGAGTTGGTTAATTTTTCGTGATTTGATTTGGCATTTTCTAAGCCCTAGGCTTAAGATATGACAGCATTGGAAATTGCAAGACACATAGACACTAGTAGCCTGTTCGTTTGGCTGTGGCTTATCGTAAACGATCGTAAATTTTCAGTAGCGGAACAGTATTTTTCTCTCACACAAATCAGTCAGCAATATTTCTTCACAAACCAGCAACAAAACGAACTAGCCAACCGAATAGACTGTAGATAATCTGAGAGGCAATGGCCCTGTTTGCATACGCATTCTTCGATTGTGTGATACAATAGCATCAAGCATTGGCGAGATTTTTTTTTCGATTCTCGCAGTGGGGCTACTGAGAATCTGATTTTAATCGATTACAAACAGGGCCAACATCTCAACAAAATCTTCAAGCTAATGTAATAAAGTTTTGATCCAAATGTGTTTTTTGCCTTAGAAAGTCCATGTGTTTTTCTATTGTTTTGTACTACCTCCGTGTTATGGCCTCGTTCGGCTTGCTGAAACTTGGCTGAAACTGGTTTAAAAATACTGTTTTGGCTGAATTGTTGTGAGAGAAAAATAATGTTCCGACTGAAAAAAGAAACCGAACAAGCCGGCTTCTGGATAAACCGAACGGGGCCTATATATGAGTATCCACTACATGGGCCCTAGATACCTATAGTAATATGTTATACTTAATCATACCTATGTCCAAGAAAGTCATACCAAGCATGAACACTATGTTTATTTTCTTGCACCTTACACTCACATAAGAGTTGAGCCACACACCAAGTCTCTCTCATCCTGTGCTAAACGAATTTTCCAATATGTATTCTACATGTGAGATGGAGGAACCTTTCTCGAGGGCCTTGAGCTGTGGATGAAGTTTGGAGCCAATAAAAGGACCCATGATGCATTTTACTCAGCGCGAGTTCTAGTATTTCTAAAATGGTCATGGTATTTTTGGTAGTACCTAAGTTAATATAGTATCGTGTGTAAAATCAACCAACAACAACTAGCCTAATATGCTCTCATTAGATTTGGTAGTATGTTGTACAAGGGTGATGAGATTTGAAGGTAGAAAGTTATTCCAGCGTTATTCTATCTAAAATAATCAATGATGTGGTTAATTTTTAGTGATTTGATTTGGCATTTTCTAGGCTCTAGGCCTAAGAAACGACAATATTGGAAATTACAAAACACATTGATACTAAATAATCTGAGAGCCAACGACCCTGTTTGGATATACGCGTTCTTCACCTTGCGGTGCAGTAGCGGAGCCTCGGTACGAAAACCGGACTCCCTATTCATTCTCATGGTGAGTGAGTCATGCATAGTGTTGGAATGTGTAGTTTGAGCACTTGTGTTGGCATGCTTATGCTAGGTGTGCTAGAGCTTATACTTTTGGCCAAAGGCCGAATGTCATTGCAAATGTTTAGCCATGATTAACCCTCGGGAGAACATTAGTTCTTTTTTGTCGCAAAGAAACAACTTGTGCACTAAATTGATGAAGAACTGGTGAACTTATGATCTACCAAGTTTGAATGATAAATCTGAAAAAATCCAAGAATTGTTAAGAATTTGTGCTTTACGTTATATCCAATACGGTCACTTACTTGCTTCATGTGTTTGCCAAAGAGAAGTGAACACTTGGTTGTAAGAAGTTGACTTGAGAATAAAAAACAAACAAGGCATGGATTAATATGTGGGTGTTTGCAGTGATCTTTGTGTAAGGCTAGTTCACCTTGTTTGATCATGTTTAACACTTGTTGTTAGTCTTGCTCTATACATTCTTGGTTCTATTTCAGTGGTGAACCTTTTCTAAAGCCTAAAATTTGCTCAAAATGCTTTGCTAGTCTTGGTTTGTACCATGTGATCATTTTGAGCATTTGCATTGTTCTACTCAAGTGGCAGTATCACTTTGAGTATCTTCTCATTCTCGATGATCTACTCCTAGATCTCTCTCATCTGCATCCCAGCGCATTTCATAGCATATTTTGAGGGGGAGTTGCGGTTTTTGTTTAGCTTGATGTATCCATGTACCAACAAGGGGGAGAATGGTTACACATAGAGTTGGCATATGCAAAGAGTGTGCATTCATGTGGGAGAGTGCACTTGTTCAGGGGGAGTTGCATTTGAGACTGATTTTGGCTTTTGAGGCTGCTTTTGCTAGTTATCTTGAGCCTCTGCCTCTTCTAGAGGGACTAGCACTGTTTCTACGAAAACCTTCCCTGCTGACCAGTCGGATGGGATCCGCCCACTGACCCCCCCCTCCCACGCTCGTGATTATGGCCCATGGAAGCGCGCACCGGCCCAACACCAGCCCACGCAGAGAGCGCAGTCCGCGCATTGATGCCTGACGTACGATGTTTCGTTCCGACGCTCGTACATCTGCGCGTTCCGACGCCCAACGCTCGTAGGTGGTTAGGTAGTTGAGTTTTTTTCCTTTTTCCTTTTTCTTTTTTCTATTTATTTTCTGTTTTCCTTTTTTATTTTCTTTTTCTCTTTGTTGTTTTTTTCGTCTTTTTATTTGTTTTATTCCATAGTTTTTTCTATTTCTATATCTTTTTTGTTTTCTTTTTTCTTTTCCCTTTTCTTTTTCTTTTCTCAATGTTGTTTTATTCTTCTTTTTCTTTTATTTCTTTTATGTATTTTCTTTTCTTTTTTTCTTTCCTTCTTTGATTTCTTTTTTTTATTATGTGGTCTTTTTTATTTGTCTTTTCACTTTTTTATTTTTATCTTTATTTTATTCATTTTATTTGACCCAATTAACTATTTTTAATTCATTTTCTGTTTTCAATTTTTTTTCTTCTATTTACTTCTCTTTTCTCTTTTTATGTTTCGTGTAGATTTTTTTATTTTAGTTTTCATTGTTCCAGTTTTATTTTGTTACTCATATTTTTATTTTGCATCTTTTCTTCTATGTTATTGGACTCTAATTAATTATTGTGCTAATTTTATTTCTTTACATCTCATGATATATGTGATGTTCACTTTGTATACATGTAATGTTTTATTAGGGTCTGTTTGGATGTAGATATTGAGCCACTGAAATTGTATTCGGTACCAATGCCAAATCATATCAGTATTAGAAATTGACTAAATACCAAATCTGTTGTTTGGATGTAGATGAATTTGCTATCTGGAATCAAGTGACACATCAAATGTCAATTCATGTTGGGATTTACAGACCATGGAATTCACTGTCTTCTTCCCCATCTTCTTCCCCATTGCACGCACGATGACCCAGGCGCGCAGGCGAAGGCAGCCTTGGGCATGCAGATGGAGACGGAGGGGGCCTAGCCCCAGCCTTGGGCGTGCAGATGGAGACGGAGGGGACCTAGCCCTAGGCGCACATGTGGAAGTGGAGGCGGACTCTGCCACGACGAGCTCGGGCGTGGAGGCGGAGGCAGACTCTGCCACGATGAGCTTGAGCGCGGAGGCGGATTCGGCCTCAGGCACGCAGACGGATGGAGGCGGACCCGACCCCGGCTACGACTGGCTCGGGCGTAGAGGTGGCCATGAGGCCTTGACCACGACAGGCTCGAACGCAGAGGCGAAAGCGGCCCCGAACTCTGCCGTGATGAGCTCGAGCGTGGAGGTGGCCATGGCCATGGGCTTAGGCCCGGCAGGTGTGGAGGTGTATTGTTGTGCCGCGAGCTGGTCATGGGGCTGCTGGCGAGGAGGAAGAAAAGGGTTCGCCGACCACGGGGAAGAAGAGAAGGTGGGCTAGAACGAGCTCCACCTCCGTCGTACGGTGGGCCGAGTTCCACCACCGGCGCCGGTTAAGCAGGAGCCTTCGCGGCGACGGTCAGGACTCTCCAGCGGCGGGGGTAGTTGGCGTCTTTCCTTCGTGCTTTTCGATTCTGTCCAATACGGAGGGGTCTGCCTTGGTATTGAAGGGAGCGATTTTAGTTGCAGCCGAATGCCGTGGAATTGCTCTTCAATGACATCTCGCAATGCCAAAGACATCCAAACAGTAGAATTGGAAAAACTCAATTCCAATTCCAAATCCCACCCCTGAATATCTACAGCCAAACGCTACCTTATGTAGTTTAATGTCCGTGAGTAGAAATATGATGTCCTACGATGTATTTTGTGATGTTCAGTATGCATAGATTGATGTTCTAGGATATATTTTGTGATGTTCGGCAGCTTTTTTCTTCTTCTTTTTATTTGACTCTAATTAGTTACTTCACTAATTTTATTATTTTATTTTACATTTTCATGATATTTGTGATGTTCACATAGTACTCATATGATGTTCTATACTATATTTAGTGATATTTATGTAGTGTTAATATGATGTTTTCTATGATGTATTTGTGATGTTCGATAGCATTTTTTCTTCTTTTTATTTGACTATAATTAATTGCTTCACTAATTTTATATTTTATATTTTATTTTTACATTTCGTTATATACGCGATATTCATATAGTATACATATGATGTTCTGTTCTATTTTTTGTGACGCTCGTGTAGTGTTAATGTGATGTTCGACGATAATCTTTAAATACATATTCATCATGAGATAAATGTTCGTTAAATTTTTTTATCGAAATATATTCACGTGGGGTCTTGTTTTGAAGAGTTTATTGCAAGAAACACGATGGTGTAATCAGATTTTAACTATGATACTTGATTTAGGAGTTACGATTTTTTTACTACGAAAAGCATGGGGAGTTACTGACGTCAGTATTTTTGCTTTGGTAGGCTGCGTTGTCCGCGAAAGCATTAAATTTAGCCCAATTGCGCGCGGGCAACAAATTATTTCCACTTGGTGGGGTCGGCAGCGTGATACCCGCCATCTGGGTCGGTAGCTAGACGTCCCCCTGTTTCTAGAGATTTTTGAGATGCCTTGGTCTTCTGCTAGTGTTGTTGATCCATTTCTACCTCTTCTTGATGGACTAGTTGTCTCGCTTGGTTGTGTTGAGTCGAGCATCTACGTACCCATGTCTTTGGGAATCAAGTTTTGCTTCTTCTCGGTTGCATCGAGCCGTTGCCCATGTCTTTGGGGACCGAGTTTGTTCATTTCAAATGACCTTGATCTTTGCTTTTACACCGGCTTTTGGTCATTTGGATGGGTTCGCAATTTTTCCTTTTGCTTTTGATTCATCTCTTTGTATTGGTGTTGACTATGCACTCATCAAGGGGATGATTCATTCTAGGTACCTAGGTCATTGGAGACTGAGATGCTGATACACATTCCACGAAAAAAATTATATTTGTTTACATTTTTCTTGTATCATCTACGTGAAGCTAACATCTTTAAATGTACTGTGCGGAATCATCTTCTGGAAATAGTGGTGGCACGTGCCAAGATTACGACTGATGGCAAGCACAAAACATATATGCTTGACAAAGTTTATAAGTCCATCAATTAACGTGGTTTACAGAACACATGAACTACCTACAATTATCTAACATTGACACGTTACTGAACAAGCTTTCTGGGTTTACATTCAGATTTTTTTTTCTGCACGTGCTACCTTATCAATTTTTTTGTGCACGACCTTATCAAGAACAATATGGCCTATCTATGTTTGCGTATTGAGAACAATTAGTGTCTCTTTGTAACATGTTATGATCATATCGACCTATTATATCAACAAGTACTCTATCAGCATGTTTGGTTCAAGGATTAGCTTTATCCAACAGCTGACTCCACATGCATGCAGGATCGGGTCATCTGTTATTTTTCCGGGGGGTCAGGTAGCTTCTGTAGATCGGATTGGGGGAGTTAACAAACGAGTCGAGTGATGGCACGGGCTTACGATGCAAACCAAATTCCGTTCTCAGGTTTGATCTTAGGATCAGATAATTGCCGATTGATCAATATAGCAAACCAATATAATGTGCCATCACCTAATTTTGGGTTTTTAAGTCTCTGCATCGATCATATCCATTCTTTGTCATATCTATCTCAACATTATCATTCCATTTGCCAAACCAAACCGCAAAGAACGTGTAAATTATTAGTGTTGACAAAAAGGTCATATCTGGCAGGGCTCCTCCTCTGCTTCGGTTTTAGCTCCTGCAGAGGAGCCCAAACGTTTTCCTATAAAAACTGGTTTTCACTAAAAAAAAACAGAGGAGCCAAACAGCTCTCCGTGCCAAACACCCCCGAAAACTGCATTACTTTGAACAACATGAACACGAGCACAACGAGTCCATGACCAACCCCCCTTCTCTTGATTGATAATTAATGATGATAAGATAACATGACATGCCAAGTTTATAGCAACAGTAATGTGTTGCAGATTTGCAGTGCCAAATCAATTCAGAACAAATTAAAGGCCTACTCATACAGAGGTAGATGAACGAACACTTCAGCTAATTTCTCAGGTTCAAAACTTTAGCTCTTGGCTCGATCAGAATCGAACGAAATCGTACCTTACACCTCTTCTATCTTGGCCTGTTTGACCTGCCCCGACGTGCCGGTGCCGACGGGCTGCTGGCTGCCGCCGCCACGCTTCCTGCTGCTCTCACGCGAGATCTCCACCATCTCCTCCATCTTGGGAGTCAGGTACGCGCTACTACGCTTGCTCGACGACGACTGCACGTCCGTCCCCGAGGCGCGCTGCTGCGCGTGCGAGCTCATGCCGGCGAGCAGGCACGCGCGCCCCGTCTGCTGGTACTCCGCCCGGTCGCCCACGCGGGCGCTGAGGTCGCGCAGCTCCTCCTTGATCGCCTCGCACGTGGGGTCGTCCCCGGTCGCCCCCGGCGCCGACCGCTCGACGGCCTTGAGCCGCGACTCGAGGATCCGTGCGGCGCCCGCGTTCTGCCCGCCGTCCGCGGCCACCAGCGCGGTCGCGATGTCCTCGGCCGCCGCGAGGCGGACGCGCTCCCGCTCCACGTCCAAGGACGGGGCAGGCAGTGTCGCCAGGTCCAGCGGCCTCTGGACCACGGCGGCGGGCGCGGCGACCTGGCGCGCCTGGCCCGTCGCGGCCTCTCGGTACGTGCAGCTCGCCTTGACGAGGCGGGTCACCTCCTCCGTCGACCGGGCTCTCGGCACGTACACGAGCACCAGGAACCGCCTCTCCTCGCCGTCGTAGAGCTCGCCGACGTCGATGGTGGCGGCGCGGCCGTCTTCGGTGCCCACATGGCTGACGTAGGCGCCGGACTTGACTTCCTGGATATGGACGCCCCGGTGCAGGCACGTGACGGCGACGCGCGCCTCCTGCACGGCCACCGAGAGGAGCCCGCCGACGCAGCGCGCGAACGAGTCCTGGATCGCCGCCTGGTTCCCGACGAAGGAGAAGGTGCCGCCCGTGGCCTCCGCGATGTCGTGCATCGCGGCGGCGTCGTGGTTGGTGCCGAAGCCGAACGTGTGGATCGGCGCGGGCCGGCTGCTGTGGCCGGCGCTCGTGAATGAGGGCGGCACGAGTTTGGTGTAGCTCTTGGTGCCGTCTGGCCTGACGATTGTCCAGCCGCAGGTGTCGTGCCCGTCCGAGAGAAGGATCATGCCGGCGACGACGTTCTTCTCCCGGCGGCCGGTGAGCACCTCGGCTCCCACACGGAGGCCCTGCCTGATGTTGGTGCCCCCCTGGGCAGCAAGCGACTCCACGGCGAACTTCGCCCAGGCCTTCCCCGCGTCCGACATGCGCGCGAGGCGGGTCAGGCGGCTGGCGCCGTTAGAGAAGGTGACGACGGAGAGGCGATCGGCGGGGCCGAGCTGGTCGATGACGAAGCACATCGCCTGCTTCAGCAGCGCTAGCTTCTCGCCCTTCATGCTGCCGCTGACGTCGAGTACGGTGACGAGGTCGAGCGGCGCCTTGGCGTGCACGAGCACCGCGAATCTGTCGCGGGACGCGGCCCTCGCCAGGGCCGGGAACTCGCACTGCGTGCTGAGGACCAGCCCGCCGTTGGCTGCCGGGCCCTGCGCCGGGGCGGTCGAGCGCTCCAGCGGCTCGTCGTCTTGGTACAAGCCAGCCGGCGGCGGCGCCGCCGCAGGGAGATGGGGACCCTTGGTGTCCGACATGGCTTTCTCGCTGATGGTTGCTTGTGGTTGCTTGGTGGTAGGGTTCGGCAAGGCAGATGATATAAATCGACTCCTCCCACCGTGGGCCCGGGCCGTGGCGTTCCGATGTTCCGATCCGTCGCTGCCCTTTCCGCTCCCAACTAGCAATCCCGTAAATTGCGTCCCGGATTCATTCTTGTTTCCATCCCACAACCTGAGTTACGATTAATAACAATTAATTAGGCCAGTCTAGTATTAAACTTAATAAGCTATCAACTTATTAATATATGCTGATATGATACAATCTATATCTATATTTCTTTCTATATATCTATTTTTTATTTTTATATTCGTATCTATATCTATATCTATATCTATATCTAATATTAAATAGCCAAAATTTTATTCTATTTTTTTGTCCACCTTCCTCTAGCTATCGGGACCGTAGAGTTTCTTCAGTTTCACTTCTATCTTTTACACAACTTGGACTTTTGATCTATATATACTCATATGGGTTAGAAAAACTCGGGTATAGATAATGGATAATGGATAAAGGATCCGATTCTAATATGTATTGAGTCGCGTCCTCCATATCTTCTATATGACATAGACTTATGACCCGCGTTCATAAAAGTTAGAACCACTCTTATCTAGTGATGATAGATATATTGAGTTCCGTCGCAACACGCGGGTGGATAACACACCGGGTCATGCACGATCTAGCGCAAATGGCCAGACGTTTGCATCATAGTGCAATACAGGGTGGATAACAAGCCAACTGCGCTTTTTTCGAGCTTTGTTCAAAAAAAACATAATCTTATTTACTTGCATGATCTGTTAATTATTTGAGACCCAACTTTAAGCCAAGCTTCACGAGCTCAGCCGAAGTCAAAAGTTACTCAAATTCAACTCATATTTAATTAAAACCAAAATGAGTTTAATAAGAGCATTTTTAAAGAAGTCACCTAGCCAGCTCAACGAGCTTTTATTTTGTTCAAGCCTCGAGCCACTAGGTGCTCAGAATTGTGAGACTTTAATTCCCATATAATAAAGCTCGCTCTTGATTTAAAAAAAAAGAGCAACAGTTTGCATATTGGGTCTATAAGCACCTTTTTTTTTTTTTTAAATTACTACTTGATCTCAGGATCAAAGTGACAAATATATTATCAAATGATGCTTGCCCTGTGAGACGGAAACGAAATCCTGCTAGGGCCCTTCCAAATGCAAAAACTAGATAAAAAACTGTACAAGATTTTTTTTCAGAAATCAATTTGTTTATACAGAAAAAATATTGGGATCCTTAAGGTGCCGCAACGTCTTCTCGTCTCCCCCTCACCTCCGCTTTCCACCACCGCTCGCCCCTCCTCCCTTCCCCTCTAGCATCTCGTCAGAGGACGGAGGAAGTGATGATCCATCGTTTTTAATAAGTCTTTCAGTATATCGAGTCTTTAGAGTTAGGGTCTCTTCATGGCAAATTTCTTGGTACTAGGGATTTATTTTCTCCTCCTCTCCGACGACGACGAGGGGGCAGGGTGGAATTATTTTCTCCATGGCGGCTATTGGTATATTTTAACGCATACAGATAAATCCGCAAGCGCACGGATACCGCTGTAGCTTTCACCCGGAGGTATTCCAAGTATCGTATCCACAGAGGAACGTGTGAGACTAACTACAATCTAACTTAACTAGGGGTAGCAATAAGGTTAGGATAAATATGAGCGTAGAGAGGATAACTAAGGTTCTCTAGTTCTGACTTGGGTAAACTTATGTCTTCTACTATTCAACCGGAGACATTACTAGGGAAAGACACCAGCAGAGGTTGCTTTTCTTTGCAACCGCGTCCTACATGCGCCTACATACGGGAGGTGGACTACAAATGATCAACAAAGCTATATAGTACAGGCTATACAGAACTCATGTCACACACGTGATCTACCAATGCAGGGGGCCTCCACGATTAACCCAAGTCTAAGCACCACGCTTACACTTACAATTAATATTTTAACCTAAAGCGTTTATAGATTAAAGTACTTAAAAGAATGTCGTGATCCTGATGAACAATATAAACAATTACTGAATCAGAAGTTGATTACTGGGGAGATCTCGAAGGCAAGCTCAAGTAGAACTTGGATGGGATCTACCAAGGTACAAGCCGTAGAGTGAGCACCGATAGGCCGACACCTCCTCCAAACGCTTCCCTCACTCTCTATCTCACTATTCTATTTGTAAGACTCGATCCTATGGAGTACATGGCTGTTTATATAGGCCGGAGCGTTCATCGTGAGCCCTTGGATCAAACCGACTTAAAGAATGACGTAGATGCAACCTAGGGGGCAGTGGAGAACCAATATAACGAGGCGGAGGCAGATGGGTGACCCTAGGGGCCAGGCGGCCTGCAGGTCGGCCCCACCTGGCAGGCCCTTGGCTCCCACTTCGTGTGGTGTCCTCTGGAGTTCTCTGAAACCTTCTGATGCCCGTTTCGCGACAGATAAGCACGATTAATTTTGATATGTAGGTCTGCCTTGACGGTGTTCTAGATAAACCCTGTAGAAAATATAGATTCACCAAAACTTGTGAAATTTATTAGTTTAGACCCCAAGACCTTTGTTGGTGATCACAATTGTGCCCTTATGCATGTTTTATTGACGGTTTATAATGGTTGTTAACTACCGTTAATAAGCTCCCCTAAACTTAACCTTTGCTAGTCCCTTAGCAAAGCTAAACTCAGCAAAAATAAATCAGGAGTTGCTACGATGTTTTCACTCCTCAAAAGTACACATGCGTTCAAACAAAATTCTCCTCCAGATTAGAATAAACCGATCTGACTTTAAATTTACCCATTTTACCTTCAACCATGTGGCTTCTTAGTCTTCACTTCGGTCTTGAGTAACTATGTCTCAAGTTCTTTGCTCAAATATTATTCTGGAGTTTTTTTTTTAAAAAAAACTCAGAGTTTTCATTGTATGACACTCTCAAATCTCTTAATATATGTGGTATTTGTGGTTCCTCACCAAGACAATAATGATATATGCTGCTCTTTTTCTACAACTAAAGCTTATGTAGAGTTCATTCACTCCACGCCTATAATCAAGTTTATCATATAGAAATACTTTCAATGAGAAAATCAGAATATAGAATATGAGGAGCTCTATCAAACGAGCCCTAGCGAGAAATGGTGTAGGCTAAACATTAGCTACCGAAAAAAATGATACACGTGTGCTCATAAGGCACAATCACTTTACCATACATGAATTCTATACAGCATGGAATTTGATAGGGGACCATTGGATTTTCTTGTCCCCGATGACAATATAGCATTATGGCCCCGTTCGGATGATATGGTTCTGAAGGAATTTGGATGATTTGGATAAATTCTGAAAAAATTTGTGAGAGAAAAATACTGTTTTGGATGAAAAAAATGAATCAAGCCGGATTTAAGGGCACGCGAACGGAGCCATACTATTAGTTACGGCAGCAAATGCCCTGTTATGTTCGGACTCGGACCAAATATAGCCTGTAGCATTTGAAGTTAGGCTCCGTTTAGATTCCAAAAAATTTTGCGCAGTACTCGTCACATCGAATCTTGCGGCATATGCATGGAGTACTAAATGTAGACAAAAAAAAAACTAATTGCACAGTTAGGTGAGAAATCGCGAGACGAAACTTTTGAACCTAATTAATCCATAATTAGACACTAATTACCAAATACAAACGAAAGTACTACAATAGCCAAAATTCAAATTTTTTGAATCTAAACGGGGCCTTACATGCGGCTGGCTCTTGCCATCTTCGGCCGGACCACATACAACCTGTTCGCTTGCTCGTAAACGATCGTAAATTTCCAGCCGGGAACAGTGTTTTTCTCTCACACCAAACCAGCCAGCAGTAAATAATCCACGATACGATCGGTCCTCTCGAACAGGCTGATAGTTCATCACCGGTACCGTACACACTTGTGATCGCGATCGCGAGTAGGGCCTTGTTTAGCGCGTGTTTAGTTGCATCCTAAATTCTAAAAAGTTGTTACAGTATTTGTCACATCGAATATTTGCGGTTTATGCATGGAGCATTAAATGTAGACGAAAAAAACTAATTGCACAGTTTGGTGCGAAATTATGAGACGAACGTTTTGAGCCTAATTAATCCATATTTGAACACTAATTGCCAAATAAAAACGAACATGCTACAGTAGCCCCAAATTCCAAGTTTCTGAAACTAAACACGCGCTTAGATCCCATCAAAATTCCAAGTTTTTTCATTCTCTCCATCACATCAATTTTTTGACACATGTATGGAGCATTAAATGTAGGTAAAAAAAATAATTAATTGCACAATTTAGTTGTAAATCACGAGATGAATCTTTTGAGCCTAGTTAATTCATAATGAGACAAAGTTTGTCCAAATACAAATGAAACATGCTACAATATTCGGATTGCAAAAATTTGTAATCAAAACGAGGCCTAGCCCGTGCTCCGCTCACCGGTCGTCACCACTGATCCTCTCGCGACGTCACGCGGATCGACCCAAACGCTCGCGGCGGGCCTGGCCTGCCTGACGTACCCGGAAGCTCGAACTCGGTAGAATCGGAAGTTCGCAACTCAACCCTCTACGCCTCAACCCAATTCGAGGCACCGGGGAAGGTAAAGGCTCTGCGTCGTCGTCGGCGGCGGCATGAGCAAGCGGCCCCGTGTCGATCCCTCCTCCTTCGCCTCCGCACCCAAGCGCCAGTACGGCGCAGGTACTCCTCCCGTCGCCTCGCCCCCCCTCCTCACCCCCACCAATCGCTCCGGCCGGCGTCGTGGCCGAGGCGAGGCGGAATACCGCGGTCCGGTGGGGCGGCTAACTAGAGGTTGGGGCTTTGGGTGGCAGGCGGCGGGTATGGCGGGCAGCAGGGGTGCTCGGAGGAGCGGAGCAGCGCGCGGCGGGTGGCGGACCACTACAGCGCGCGGTCCAACCAGACGCTCCAGGAGCGCGAGAGCAGCCCCATCATCCACCTCAAGAAGCTCAACAACTGGGTGGGTTTTAGTTCAATTTAACCGCCCTACCACACTCCATCCCTATTTGATTCCTTGATTGATGAAATGAGGAACCCCTGATGTTTGTATTACATCCTGCCATTACCATGCTAGGCGAGTAACCGTCGTTCAATCTGTGTGTGTCTCGGCAGATAAAGAGTGTTCTGATCCAGCTGTATGCACGCCCGGGCCACTGCGTGCTTGATCTTGCTTGTGGGAAGGTAGGCGGCCAGCTGCGGTTACTGTATGTATAGTAGTCAGTAGAAACAGCTCTGGTTCTCGTGCTTGAAATTGGTGTTAAACTGTTAACCATTCACCTATGCTGCTCTGTTTTGTAACGCAGGGAGGTGATTTGATAAAGTGGGATAAAGCCAACGTTGGGTATTACGTGGGAGTTGATATTGCTGAAGGCTCGGTTAGTTTCCTAACACACCGAGACATATATTCTGCGTTTACAAGTAAACCAGGAGTTGTGTATTATCTGTATATTCAGCTAACCCATTTTTGAGTTGCTATCCTTGATACCTGATGGAATCTCAAGATTTTGATGGCCCTCTGAACATTGATATTTTTCTTTCTTTTGGTGCTCTTGTGTGTTTATGTTTCATGCCTCTTACAGGTCTCAAATTACAAATCAACAGACTCAACACTTTCTGTTGTAATCTCATCGTATGTGCAATGTATTTTGATGTATCTGCATCACTTTGGAGCATTTCAGATAAAAGATTGCATGACCCGCTACAATGGTGACACAGATCAACAACGGAGGAAGAAGTTCAGTTTCCCTGCATGACTTCTATGCACAGATTGTTATGAGGTAAAAGAGAGGAAATTGCTAATTGTTACCCATGACTAACTTGACGGTTCGCTTTTTTGCACATGCAAACCCACTAATAGACTGAACATGTTACCAGGCATATAACCACGGGCTGTTTAAAACAGCTGATCATATTTTGTAATTATGTCAAATTATATGCAAGCATGCGCCCTTGCATAGAACACCTTTTATACTTTTTTATTTACTGAAAATGTGACACAGCCTTTTGCTTTCACATTGTTAGGCAGAATATAGTGTACCTCATAGTTTTGTTGCCTGTGACTTTCTTCTTATGCTTATTATTAAGATTAAAGAGATTGAAGTACAAACAGACCAATTTCTTTTCTTTTCTTTCTTCCATAGGCTCGTTTGGATGAGTATTTATATGAGGATGCTCCTTTTGACATATGTAGCTGTCAGGTGAGGCATCTTGCTTTCTACATTTAGCCATTGATTTTTCATTCCTTCATTTGTTGTCCGGGTTCAACTTTATCCTTTCCTAATTGTCAGTGCGCCTTTTTATTTGTCGAAGCTTCTCTAAATCTACATGGCCATGAATGCATTCATGATAGACAGCTACCATGCAAATATTTTTCCATAAGAAGATTGTTCAGCATTTAGTATCATCGTTTTGCACAATAAAAGAAATGCTACTAATTTACTATTACGACTAAAATGTTCTTTTAATTGCTCATTCATTGTCAAATCTTCTAAAACTTGTAAGTAATAGCTGACTAATTGAGTAAGGCTATAAAGAGCTTTCCTGTTGTCGGAACAAGGAATTCTCTTCAATCGTACAAACTCTATTATGAATGACTCCCGCTCTACAATTTCAGTTTGCTTTACATTATTCGTGGTCAACTGAAGCACGTGCCAGACAAGCCTTGGCAAATGTGTCTGCATTGCTTCGTCCTGGAGGCATTTTTATCGGGACGATGCCTGATGCGAATGTCATTATCAAAAGGCTTCGAGAATGTATGTCTGAAAGTGACTATCTGGATCTTATGGGTCTGTGTGGTTCCCAGTCTTCAGCCTGGTCAGGCTCCACGAGGCTAAGTTAGATATGTTTGGTTGCCTGGACATGCCTTCTAGCCAGGCCCCCATAAGCCAAATGGGCCTGTTACCCAGGCTCCAGAAGAATGGAATTGCAAGTCGTTTTCTGGGGGCCAGGCTCGGGCCAGCTCGATGCCGATTCCCGTCACCTCCTCCGCTCGCCTCGTTCGCTCGTCTCCGGCGGTCCTCCCCGCGCTCCGTTCTTGCGCGTCCTCCGTCCACGCTACCTGCCACCGGAGTAGACCAAGCCTCTCGCTCGCCCGCGCTCCCTCTGCTCTCTCCTCCGCTCTGGGCCGCCGCGATAGAGCGTGCCGCGCCATGGACGCGGTCGAAGCAGGAGCTTCGCTGCTGCTCGCCCATGCGCGCCCTCGCGCCATCTCAGCGCCGTAGCCACCCTCCTCCACCTCCCTGCGTCAGCGGCTCGCGTTTTGCCGATGCCTGCACAGGAGGACGACGACGAGGAGCCGGTGCTGCTCGCGTTCCGGCGACGACCGCGCCGGTCGATGTGCAACGCCCACTGGAACTCCAACCGGCGGAACAAGCGAGCTGCGACTCCAACCTACTGCTCGACGCCTAGGAGAAGGAGATGCTACTCCAACCTGTTGCTCGACGCCCAGGAGGAGCTGCGACTCCAACCTGCTACACATTGACCAGCCCCTTGCTGCTAATCCTTGCCCAGGTGCTCGCCAATCCTTGCCCAAGTGTTCGCCAATCCTTGCCGCATGCACAACCGGCCGGAATCGGCCTGCCGGCCATCTCCCCTGCTTCAATTCGCAGAGAAGGAGCTACGTCGTGGTGCTCAGCACGTGTTCGACGAATTGTGTCAAAGGTGGTGAAGTTACCTGCACAAAGAAGAGGTGACTCTATCCAGGCCAAACTAGCCAACCAAACACACTGGTTGCTAGCCAGGCTTAGATTGTGTATGCAACCAAACAAGTCTCTCTTGGCTTGCTAGGGACAGGCTTGAGCTAACCTGGCTTATTTCCTAGCCAGGCTAGAAGAAAGCCAGGAAACCAAACAGACCCTATGTTGGCTAACTTTATCACCACCTTGCTCTTGCTGTAACCTGTGTGATAGTATAAAACTCTTTTGCTATGCTCAGCTGAAGGTTTGGAATTTGGGAACAGTGTTTACTGGATTAGCTTTGGTGAAGAGTATGCTGAAAAGGTAATTTCTGCTCCATTATTTTATAACATCTTCCTTATTTTTGTTAGTTACTGATTCAATCATTTTGATTCGATGATGCTGTAGAAATTCCCTGCATCCAGACCTTTTGGTACCAAGTACAAGTTTCACTTAGAGGTAACAGTGGGACAGTTTTTCCTTAATTTATGCATAGTATTCCTTTTAGTTTAATATGCTTCAAAAGGGTAATTAATCTTGGCACTGGTTTCTCTTAATTTTTTGAACTTAAATATTGACAGTCAAGTTTGAGTACGTATCTGTAGTTCCTTCTGTGTTGATAAATTAAAACGAAGTGCTGTAGTAAATTTCTTCTGCAACTTGCAGGATGCTGTTGATTGCCCAGAATGGGTTGTTCCATTCCATCTCTTCAAGTTACTCGCAGAGGAGGTACTGAGTTGTTTTCTTGCTTTGACGGTGACCAAGTGCTGCCTTTGCCTCAACAGACAGAAGTTACTAGTCACTACACATTGTTTTTGATGCCTTGCAGTATGATCTTGAGCTGGTTTTGATGAAGAACTTCCACGAATTTGTACACGAGTATTTGCAAAAGCCAGAGTTTACTGAACTGATACGGAGGCTGGGTGCCCTTGGTGATGGAAGGCAGGACCAAAGTAATTTCACACTTAATCTTGAAGATTGGCTACCCTTGAATGCTGTCAGTTTTCCCCATCTTATAACAGTAAAACGTAATTGCAGGTACACTGTCACAGGATGAGTGGGAGGTTTCCTATCTGTATCTTGCATTTGTCCTTCGGAAGGTACCGTGCAATTCACAGTTTCCAGTTCTGTTAACATTAGATGGTTTGGTCACACATTCTCCTTTTGCAGCAAGGTCAACCATCAACCCAACCGATAGCGAACAACGCAAACAAAGGGAAGATGTTCCTCACCGAGGGCGACATTGAGTTTCTTGGGATGTAAGCAGAAGTCTACCCTTACAGAGCTTTGCTAACAGCTTGTCGACTCTATGCTCCACATAGCGTGAAAGAAAATTGTAACTTTAGTCTCACTGTTCACAAATTATTTATTTCTCCAATTTGTATCTGTTGTATAACTTCACAAATTTGAATGTACAAACAAAAGGACTCGTAATGCAATTTTGGTGGAATGAATGAACAATAGTTGGAGCGGTTGCTCGTCAGCTTCAAAGATGCACTCACAAAATATACTTGTGTGCACGCATTTTTTATTATGTACTATTTATTTACTCGAAGTTTTGTAGATGGGTTATGAACGTTGCATATATTTTGTTTTGGACGCATCTTTTTTCAGGGAATGCCATTCGGCGAGCTGTATTGACTCATAAGAATAGTTACATTACATCGTTCACTATGAATTCAAAAATAGAACTATGAGGCTCAGCGATCCAAATATAATTTTGTTTCGAAATTAAAGCTAGTCTAGCTAGCTTATGTGCTACTCGGTTGGCATTCGTTAGACAATGGTCAATGGAGACATCGACGAAATCCCTGCACAAAAGAAAGCATCATACATTGTTTCGGACGCATCTTATAAGAACGTTAGATGTGCTGAGGCCGTTAAGAATCCAAGAATCTGTCCAGGTGAATTGTCAACTCCTGAAACCAATGGTCAGCTGCATTCCAAATGGGCTAATGGGCCTGCTCTCCCTGTACCGGAATCTCTGGGCCGTAGCAACACGACCTTTCCAGCTAGAGAGAGGTGATCAGCTGGTTAGCTGAGTGTGAGCGCTTGCGCTGAGCTTTAGTAGCACCTCGGTTGTCTGCGAAGAGCAAGCACAAGATATAAGCTCGGTCCTGGAACAGTTTAGCACGACCTTACTCGAACAGGATCTGTTCTATAGGCTCTTACCAATAAGGAGGCAAGCACTGAAGTCCGGTTGATGGTCCAGGACCTGTAGGGGATCGTTCCTTCTAGACTTGGCCTAGTTAGGGTGGCTTTGTCCGACACACTATTTTGCATTTTTTTTGCCCATTCAGCATTCGCGTGGCAAGATCAGTTCAGGTTTCAGCAAACAAACGACGACCTTTGGCATGTTATTATACTATAATTAGCAATTGTAATAATCAAGCACAACATTTGGCTCTTATGGTGTCTGCACATCAGAAGTTTAGAAACCAAGATACATAGGGGATCGTTCCTTCTAGACTTGGCCTAGTTAGGGTGGCTTTGTCCGACACACTATTTTGCATTTTTTTTGCCCATTCAGCATTCGCGTGGCAAGATCAGTTCAGGTTTCAGCAAACAAATGACGACCTTTGGCATGTTATTATACTATAATTAGCAATTGTAATAATCAATCACAACATTTGGCTCTTATGGTGTCTGCACATCAGAAGTTTAGAAACCAAGATACACACAAAATACTATAGCATAGATAGTCTTTTATTGTACTGTTTCCAAGGACAAGGACACAAGCTGTACATTACATTTGGAGTTCTTGAACTTGAACATTTTCGACAGATTTAAAGCACGATGGGTCCCAGACGGTACTCATAAGCTATCATGACCTCTTGAACAGAACAACTAGGATGACCCCTATGGCGAGAGCCATGAAGGATCCTCCAACAGCCATCTCTGTTGCAGAAAGGCCCTTCTCAGCTGAAGGGCCTGTTCCATCCTGGGCCTTGGCCGAGTCGAACAAGTCCTTGAAAAAGTCAGTTATATTATAGACCACATCCATCACTCTCCTCTTCGCATTGTCCACAAAATCAGAGAAAGGTGAGCCAGTGGGGAGTTCGCTGTGGGATGCATTTTCAGAGGTGGCGTCTTCAAACTTCCCTAGCGACTCTACTGTAGCGGCTTCTTCAGGGAATGTCTCAACTAGAGCTGTATCATAGCAGAGGACAACAACAATTGTCATACAGGTTGGTAGAAATGATAAATGCGATACGTACAACTTTGGCTAAAGAATCACTGAGGTACATACTTGTCTGGTGATTCTTGTAAAATTCCATAACCTTCTCATTCTTCAATACTGCATCCCAGACATTTCTATCTGACGCAAGGGACGCTACAACACTCTAGAGATCAAGAGTCAAAACAAACAGTTTCAGTGAGAAACATAACAGATGATATCAGAACAAATTAATCTAAGTGATCCATTGCGGTACGGCTACATGATCATCAACTAGTACAAACTATGTGATACAGAGCTATCCTACATATGTAAACTGTGTAACTGAAAAGCGAAGACTGCCCACAGAACTCATTATTGCAGACCAGACAGGAGCAACAAACAAACATATGTCAAAGGGTTTCTTCTAAGTTTATAATTATAGCAGATAGAGTAACACATCAAATTATTGGCAACGCAATTATTATCCTAACAAAATTCAAGAAACTAGGTAGCATTGTATGAAGGTTGACGTGTGTGACAAACAATTTGTGGCATCTATAGGGTGACAAATAATTGATTTCCCCAAATGAGTAGTGCAGTACGTTTACAGGGGCCATTGCACAAACCTGAGCCTCCGGGCTTGATTTCAGCAATGTAAAAGCTTGGACCACATGTCCAGGCATAGAAGGAATTATGGCATCGGTTGCCTGCTTATTAAACTCTTTATCCTGTTCCTTAACAACCTCCACTGGAGACTCATTGAAATAAACCCTGTAACAAATTATTTTGTGAGGATAGGGTGAATATGCATACACCAAATGTGAAGCAAAGTATTTCCTGTGCAGATGCAACATATTGTAATGGCATCGAAGTGTTGTTGAGAGCATCAATAGACATGTATGAAAAGGTACAGGTGCCACAGAGCATCACACTTGCATAGTTGAGTATGTATAGATGCACATGGATGAAACATGTATACGACAACTAAGTGGGTAGGAAGCTTTCTTCGATGTACATGTACGTAGGCTGCATCAACTAGACAATTTGAGTGAACTGAATAGCAAGCATCGGATTCTCCTTTCCAATAAATCTATTGCGTTGTTAGGCCTAGGGTTCTTATCACCAATTGGGGAATCGAATCCCATCGCCTAATATAACCCTATAAAAGCCTAATCAGATATTCAGATGCTTCCTAAATCCCGTCAAAAAGAATTATTTCAGCCAAACATGTCAGGATGAATAGATCGTAAAAGAAAAGCTCCAGCAGTCCAGCTAACGAAAATCAAAATCCCAATTCCCAACCAATTAGTCAACTAAAAAAATCTTTCCTTTCCATCCAATTCGACAAAATTCACAGAGGGGAAGTGCGAAAGACGCGATCTTTTCACCTCTCTATGGCGTCCCTGAGCTCAGTCGTGGCCTCCTCGGCCTCCTCCCTCGACGGCGGCGCGAAGACGAGCCTGGGCTTCGCGGCCGCCGCCGTGGCCTCCCTCTCCGCCACCACCGCCGCCGCGGCGTCGTCCCTCCAGTCCGCGAACTCCCAGTCGTCCAGCTCCCAGGACGCCTCCCACTGCGCCGCGGCGGGGGGCACCACCTCGCCACCGGAGGCGGAGACAAGAGGCGCCGCCTCGGAACCCGCGGCGGCGGAGGCCGTGGCGAAGGCCGGCGCGGCGTGGCGGAACCGGCCGCCCTTCGCCGCCGCCGCCGCCGCGGCCCCCGGCGATGCCGACCTTCGCGGCGGTGCGCATGACTCCTCCCCCCATGGTGATGGCGACCTCGCGTTCCTCTCGGTGGCGTCGTGTCCCCCCTCCCTAGCTTCTCGGTCCTATATGTGTGGGGGAAACTGCAGAAGAAACCTTTGAAGTCGATTGGTAGCGTAGATAAGGTCTTTTGCTGCGACAAAAGTGCTGAGAAGGGTAGAACTGTGATTGTTAATCTAGATAGGGTGTTTTATGGAAACGCTGGTAGGAAAGATCCCGTCCCGTGTGAATCTGGGAGAAGGCAGGCGGAGGGCGATGGGATTTTTGTGGAAGCAGATAAGGGCGCAGTTGACTTCGACGCTAAGTTATCTAAACGCGGATAGATGGACAGTCGATGACTTGTGGGGTGCCTGCCCCCTTCTGTCAGACAGACATGGTCAAGCATTTCATCCCAAAGGGTTTGTAATTAATTATCTATTTTTAACATTATTGACAAATAATTCTAGGATGAAGAAACTGGAGAAACACTAACCAATAGCACATAAGGAGAAAAAATATATATTTTTACCGATCCGCGTGGTGAAAGGTTATTACCGTATATTTTGGTGATATAAGTAGTCCATCCGCTAGACACTTTCAAAAGTTAGCACTCTTTCATATGATCTTTCAATGAAGTTGATTTCTATATGAAATGTAGCAGTTGATGTAGGTTATAACTTTGTACTCCCTCTGTTTCATTCGATCTCTTTAATGGCGCCGTTTACTGTTCACACTCTCACAAATTCCTCCAGATTCCTCTAAATTCCTTCCAGCGAACATGGACAATATATAATTTTTACTACGTATCTAGACACATGTATGCAGAGCTCGTGAGTTCGATTGGATCCTTGAGCCAACCCTCAAGCTAGCGACCTGTGTGGGCCTTTCTTATGAAAAAAATATGAACATAGCCTAGATGCATTGCAAAGCTATGTATCAAGAAAAGTTAAAACAAATTTACAATTTAAAATAGATGAAGTATATTTAATTTTTCTACCACCTTTTAGTCTTCAAAATAACTTTAATTAAACTATACAAATATTTTTTTTGCCAAACTACTTGGTCAAAATCAGATATTTTTGCTCAACCATACAACCTACAACGGAAATTAGTTTTTTCTCGTGCCATTCTGACTTGTGATGTGCTATTTAATCGCCCTTTCGATTGAAGAAAATATACTGTCAAGTGGTGATAAGATATTGATTTTGAACATTCATCAATCCTCAATTTATTTTTGGTAGTTTCTGGATTAGATGATATCAAAACAATCTTGGCAACTCATGTTCAAAACCCCACTGGCCAATGTAGCAACACTCCCAGGTGTGTGTCTTATAATTATAAGGATGTAATTGGTACCCAATGATGTTTTGTGCTAGCTTAATTTACTTCTCCTCCTAAACTAATTTCTCAATATTGTCATTCTAGTTCATTTTTATAATTTTTGGATCGGCAAAAAACGTGAGATTATAGGCTGTACAATAACTAGGGACAATTGGCCACGGGACATGTCAAATGAGCACCGACGGCTGGTGGACACTCCAAATCCGCAAAGTTGCCGCTGGACACTGTGTTTCCACTTTGAATTGCCAGAAGACACCGCGCCCCGGTTTCAGGCAAGAAAGGTGATGATTTGCCCAAATTGCCCTTGGCCCAACTGGTCAGCCCATTCTTCTTCCTCCCCCTTTCTTTCTCTGTGCCGGCCACCGGCCTCCCGCCGTTGAAGGAGAAACGGAGGAGAGGGCGCCAGCAACAAGGCGAGCTCCGCGCGGACGCGTCATGAATTTGGGACAAAGGAGGCGCCGGAGCCCGCTGTTCCCGGCCGGAGGAGGCTTCCCGGCCGCGGTGGCGCACACATGCGCCCATGAGGCCATGGCGGAGCCGCAGCTCGCACGCGTGCCCATGAGGCCGTCGGGACCGGTGCTTTTCGCCCGTCTTGCGGCGAGGCCGCAGCGAGAGCTGCTGCTCGCGTCGCTGCCGCGAGGAGCGCGGCTGCTGCTACACAGCAGCGTGCGCGAGGCAGCGGCGCGACGACGGTGGTCGCAGCAGCATACCGGCGAAGGCCGTGGCGGAGCGGCTGCTGCGCGCGCCCGCGAGGCCACAGCGGAGCTCTTTGCTCATGCCCGCCATGCGTGGCCACTCAACGGCGGCGTGCGCGGCGCGATTCAGAGATCGGCCAGGCGTGCTCCAGCAGAGCTTTTCGGCTCGGTACCGAAGTGGTCCGTGACCCACGAACATGGCGGGCGGCGCGACAAGCGTCCTCGCCCATGACGGCTAGCACCGGCGGCGGCGACCGGGGGAGAGGCGCGGAGCTGCGCGATCTGCGCCGATAGGGGGAGGCATGGTGCGGTCGATGGAGGAGGAAGGCGCAGGCAATGAAGCGACGACGTGAGCTCGGCGGCCGTCAAGCAGCGAGGGTGGGTTCGTCTGGGAGGTCATCGGCTCATTGACGAGGACAGCGTCGCGGCGGATGGAATGGGTGACCAGGTTGAGCCAAGGGCAATTTGGGCAAATCATCACTTTTCTTGGCTGAAACCAGGGCGCGGTGTCTTATGACAATTCAAAGTGGAAACACAGTGTCCAGCAGCAACTTTGCGGATTTGGGGTATCTAGCAGCCGTCGGTGCTCATTTGACATCTCCCGTGGCCAATTGTCCCATAACTATATGACATGTCGCTTATTGTCTTCGTAGGAGAAAAATTGTAATTTATGCTACTTCTTCTTGGATATTGATATATTATTAGTCGCTCATAGGACTTATATATATATTCCTCGCGTAGCTGGGCTGCAACGTTAGGAATAAAAAGTGGTGTTTTCTTCTCAAGGGAAAAAGAGAGCTTTATTAAGTAGGAGTAAACAAGAAACCTGCAAATTGTTTTGAATTATTATCTATTAGCCGGTTGTTCAATCCGACTCAGTACCTCCCTTCCCGGGATGGTATGGGTTCGAGCCCTCAGTGGCTCACCCTTTGTGGCTTCGGCCACAGTGACGGGGAGGGAAAAAAAACTTTCTCGTCTATCTCACGTCCAAAGCACAAGTGTCTGTGGTCGGCTCATCTTACGAAGCCGCAGTGCCACTATGTAAGGGTAGGGCAGGGGTTCGGATGTTTTCTCGATCTGCGTGAGAAAATCTCTTATTAAACCATAATATCCGGCGGCTGTCTAGCCACCGCAGATCGAGTTTTTTTTATCTATTAGCAAAAGTAAAAAAAAGGGTGAGCTAACTTGCTTTATCGGAACATCTGATTAAGCTAATGATTCATAACTGACTCTATTACGTGCTCTTTGTTCTCATCATAATTTTTCATTTCATAGCAAGTCCTACCTTTACTTTTCCTTATGACCTCTCCATTTCGCGATGGAAATTAAGGTAGATACTTATCGTATATATCTTAGTTGCCCTTGAATTTTTCATTGTGAATTTTAAACTTGCATATGATGCTACTATAAGATAGACGCAACCCAATTGTGTCATGACTGAGGGAGAAATTGCGTGTCCTTGTCAATCTTTCAACATCGTCAGCCTCAGTGCAGTGATGACGACCCACGACCCAATGCGATCACCCCACAACCTCGTCCCTTTCAATCTTTCATCAATCAATATGTAATATAATAATAAAATGGGCACCGAAACACGAAATGGGCCTGGAAATCTGAAGGCAGGTGGAATGGCAGGCCCACTTGTGGGATAATGGAAACTCTGAACTAAGCAAATGATTAGCAGCTTAGCCGTTGAGGGCATGTAACAACTGTTGTCACTAAAATAAGTCTATGTCAGTCAAAAAAAGGCACATCACGTCTTCGAGGAGTCAACTAATTTCAGACTTGACTAGATTTATAAAAAATAGTATCAACATTGGTATATGTAAATAGATTTACTATAAGAACATATGATGTGATCAATCTAATAATACTTATTTGATATCATGAATATTGTCAGTATATTTTTGTACATGTTTGTCAAACTTGAGATTGGCTGAGTGCTCGAAATGTGACATGTGCATTTATTTTGGGATGGAAAGAGTCGACAAGACATTGCATAAATTGTCTAGGAGCAATTTCAATAGCATCCAAATGTTAATGAGATATGGCCATATATAATAGACGATATCTCTACAATGAAAAATGTTGTTGTCTAATTTTCTCATTCTCTCAGACCGCCTCTTAATTAACAGACATCATATTTCTCTTCCCTATTTCTTTCTCTTTCAAATCAGATACCTCTTCTAGACTACTGATGTCATCCCACTTTACACACCTTGAGAAGGCGTCAACACAGGTTATTAGCCAGGAGCTGGGACGGTGTGCAGCACGGCCTTACTTGAACAGGACCTTTCCTATAGGTTCGTAGCGCTCCAAGCGCTGCATCCTATACCATTTACAACATTGGAACAACTAATCCAACTCTCAGCCTCTCAGGCATTCCTCTATTTGTCATGCATGAGCAAAATGTTCAGATCACTACACTTCTCCTGGTTGGTTCTGAACTTGAGCAGCAGATAAGATTCTTTGCCAACGAAGAACATACATACGAGCCCCTTTGCCTTGTGTACATAAGTACATTCACCATTGTGCAGCATTCAGTTGAGCATGAGCAGAAAACTCCCGGTCTCGGCACCTTCCCTGCCTGCCATATGAAAGAAGCTGAACCCACCATTCAGAGTTCAGACACGCTTCAGCTGTGTTAACCACAGCAGTGACCAGTGCATATAAGGTTCAGGATCCCTTTAGGACGTCAAAGACGACACTAGCTCATAATACCACGGTAGGCAGTAGTTGACTTTAATTATTGACTTTAATTTGTCAAAGAACAAACTGGTTGTAATCTGTCCATATATATATATATATATATATATATATGAGAAAGATTGTAATCAGTCCATATGAAAAAGGATGAACGAGGCAAAGTTTGTGCCAATCTGCCGAACACCCCTTCTCGCATAGGCTTTTCTTGCTTGGTGCGGCGGCCCAGGTAAGTGTATTTGGTCCAAGTTAATTATTCGGCTTCTATATTTGGTCTGACTGGATGAAGAAGGCCCATTCACACACATATTTCGGCCCATTATAAGAATTTCTTTTTCTCTTTCTTTTTTCCCCGGTTGTTCACTTAGTATCCTTGCTATATTCTATGATATATTTTAATGTTCATGTAGTACCCATCATATTTAACTTTTCATGTAATATCCTTGCTATATTCTATAATATATGTAATATCCTCCGGCCACCCGCTCTGATGGCCGTGAGGCGTCCAGGAGTAGCCAAATGGATCGGCGGTGGCAATGCCATGTGTCGACCATGTTGCCATTGCTAGGGGCGATGCAGGCCCCCCACTCCTTCCTCAAGGACGACAATAGGTCACCCGCTCCTTGGAACAGATAGCCTAGGCTCTGTTGTCCCTCTACATCATTGCTGTTGGAGTTGGCTTGCGTGGTCGCCTGTGCCAAATCTGGCTGCTCCTCCCTCACCCTTGCCGCCACGCGATGGATGCCGCAGCCATCGACGCCATCACCAGAGCTGAGTGTGTGGCTGCCCGAGCCAGATCTGGTCGCACCATCCTTGACTTGAAGAAGCCCCCCTCCTGCCGCCTTCTTGGCAGCCGCGCGGAGATCCGACGGTCTACTCTGGTGTCAGCGAGCGAGGTGTGGAATAGGGGCCAGCGATAGGGGTGAGTAGTCCGCCCATGTTGTCCCCTCGAGAGGATGAAGCGGGGGCAAGTTTCGGTTTATATTTGTCGTCTCGAGAGTATTTAGTTCGCGTACGTACCTCACCCTGTTTCGCATGATGATTCCTTATACCTTTCTTGGTTTAGAGACTGAACTCTTTGAAAAAATTTATAGTAGTAGACTTCAAATGCAAAGTACGACTTTTGAAGGCAAAGATCAAATGTGTGTAGAGCTCTTGGGGTATCATATAATCGTTTCTTTAATGTGAGGAGTGGGGACACCTAATTGTTGCTTGATTTATCTCGCCTTTTAGATGGATCTTAAGTTCCCTTGATGATCAGCAATAGCGAAAGTGGACATGTGTTTTAACTAGAGGCCTCTCCCCATCCGTGCCTCCACATGCGAGGAACAAAAAAAATCTAGAGAGGATTAATTGCAAATTTGCAATTGAGATTCCTTGCTTTGCCGTCACATTTGACGAACAAGAAAAATATCTGAAGACGACTGCTACGACTGATTTCCATACCCTCCACGTGCCATGCTCTTACACAAGAAACTTCGAGAAGTTGACTTCTCACCACGCGTTGACTTCTTCACTACTACTCCCACGGGATTGATAGCACTAGTAGAGTCCAAAAAGGAATCCGGACAAGTCAACGTTTCTTCCATCCGAGCTGAGCAGGTGTACGTCATGATGAAATGAAACAAGCAAAAGGTGATGAATCCAAAAGTTGGATACGCGTGCTGACTCCACGGGACACTGATGGCCAGCCAAGTCGCAGCCCTGCTGACACTCCTAGCTAGATATGATTGCACTGTGTCAACACTGATGGACCTACCGAGGACTGCTCGTTTTGATGCCAAACATGCTCTGAATTCTACTAACAATCAACTGCATGCCCTACCTAGCGACTAAATTAAACTAGACGACCTTATTTAGCTGCACTCGTATTCTCTTCAATCCATAAGTATTAGAGTGAAAAATTAACTAATCTCTAACTCAACCCATTCCAACACACAATGATTAAAACAAATATGAGTGTATTCAAACAAGCTCTTAGACAGAACACTATAGTATATATAAGGTGATAGTTGAAAACATAATAGTCGAGCTAGCACAGTGCCTTTTTATAAAAATATAAACGAGACGTTCATTTTTGATTTCATTGCATTGAACCATCCGTTTTTTTACAGTAAAGATTTGTGCAAATGAACACTCTTTTTACTTACACTTCATTAGCTTTACGCAAGTTTTCTGTTCAGATAGAATTGTGCCGAGTAGTAGATCGCGCAAAGGGAGAGACGACTTGGGGTTTACGGAGGCCGGCCGGCCGGAGCGGAGAGCATGCGTTTGGTGTACGCTGTACGCACGCAGTCATGCAGACGACTCAGCGATGGGCGATGGCCCTGCCGTGCCGTGCGTACGTCGATACGTGTAGCACGCGTGCACCGTAGCGCGTGAGTGCGC